TCCTGTCTACCTGTGACTCCACTTTCAAGGAACTATGAACCTGTGTTCCATTGTTTAAATGATTTTAATTGTTCCATTCATGGGATGTGGGTATCTCTAGCTGGGCCAGCACTTATTGCCTATCCCTAACGGCCTTTGAAAGATGGTGCTGGGGTCCCTTCTTCAATCGCATGGAGTTAGGTACACACAAAAAGCTATTAGGGAGGGAGTTCCAGGATTTTGACTCAGTAACGCTGAAAAAAAAGGGATAAATTTTCAGATCAGGATTGTAAGGGAATTGGAGGGAAATTTGAAGGCAGTGATGTTCCCATGTATCTGCTATCTTTGTCCTTGTAGATGATAGGGTCACTAGTTTGGAAGGTGCAGTCGGAGGAACCTTGGTGAATTTTTGTGATTCATCTTGTACGTGGTACACACTTCTGCTACTGATGGAGGGAGCCAATGTTGAAGATGGTGGATGTGGTGCTAAGCAAGCGGGCTGCTTTGACCACGATGGTGTCAAGACTTTTGAGTGTTATTGGAGCTGCACTCGTCCAGGCAAGTGGGGAGTATTCCATGGCACTCCTGACTTGTGTCTTGCAGATCGTGGCCAGGCTTTGGGGAGTCAGAAGGTGAGTTAGTCACTGCAGGGTTCCCAGCTTTGTTCGCATATCAGTTAGGTCCTAGCTTTTGATATAACAATAGAGAAATAGCAACCAAATCTCAGCACTGTTCATTGTATTTATGACTAAGAAGGTGTCAGAAGACTGTGCAGCATCCAGCATAGATGCAAAATGCCATCCTAGAATTGTTATACCATAGCAATTAACTTTTCTAGAAGACACATTTTGCCATGATCTCCCATTGGCCCTCATGACAAATAATTCCACCTGATGGATAAATAGTACAAGAAGTAGTTCTGTTCTTGACATTTCTCCTGGAGGTGTCATCATACCAACTGTACCACAACCTTTCCTGGAGTTGCACTGACTTCTGCTGGGAGCTCTTGTTCGACATGCCGTGTTAGGTGGTTTAGTTGGAATCTTGCAAGTATCCTCCCAACAATTCAAGCAGGGAGATTTCTTGATAGTTGCCCAAAGCTTGATAATTTCTCTTCCTTTGGTGTAGGTGAACCACTGATGCAAGCTTGAATCCATGAGGGATGGGATATAATATTGTTTGGGACTGTTTCTACATTATCTGCAATAGTGCAGTGAGTATTGTGCTCCCCGTCTTGTCTATTTTACCTGGTGTTACACTTGACCCTGGTGCCTTGCTGTTCCACAGGAGACTGATTACTTTCATGATCTCACCTTTGCTGGGAGTGGAAGCAAGTCACAAATTGACTTCAATTTGGGGCAAGTGGGCAATTATCTTGTCATTAATTGTTGACAGCAGATTCAGAACATTGTTAGAAGGTTCTTCTCATCACTCTGGGATTATGGTCTTGTCTGTAATCAGTGTGGTTCTGAGGAGAGAATTTTCCAAAGTCTGCACACCATGGATTGTTTTCAGAACATCATGGAAGCAGCTGGTATGGTTTCTGTTGCATTATGAATGTTCTTCCTCTGCCTTTTTACTTAACCAGTGATCTGACAGCTCTCTAAGCATCGAATAGTTGATCTTAGAGCAGCTACATTTTAAAAAAAAAACAGATGACCAGCTCTAAGGAGACAGTGTGCCTACTCAGAGTCTGAATCTCCTCATTGTTTTCATCAAACCAACCCTGGAGTTTATAGGAGGTGGACTCCATATGTTCTACAGCAGGAGAGTGGACCAGGTCTCTGTAAGTCGTCTAGTCACCTTCCATATTTTGCTGTGTGTATTGAGTTCAACTCTTCACTTCCCCAAATTACTACAGCTCTGTGAACTTTCTTCAAAAACTCTTTAATTACAGCTTTTTCCATATGCGCATCCTCTCAAGATCCTGTATAGATTTCTGTTGCTTTCCAGTTCTTTCTACATTACCATTATACTGGCTGTTAATATTAGTCCCGTTGGTCTACATTCCACACTGTTTAAGACCATCTAACTGGTAATCCACATCTTTTGGGACATTTTTAAAAATTCTCTCATGGGATGAGGACATCGCTGGCTACACCAACATTTATTGCCCATCCCGAATTACGCAGAGGGCAGTTAAGAGTCAACCACATTGCTGTGGGTCTGGAGTCACACGTAGGTCAGACCAGGTAAGGATGGAAGATTTCCTTTCCCTGCAGGACATTAGTGAACCAGATGGGTTTTCTTGACAACCAATAATGGATTCATGGTCATCATTCGCTTCTTACTTCCAGATTTTTAAAAATTTAATTCAAATTCTACCATCGTTGGATTTGAACCTGGGTCCCCAGAACAAGAGCTGAGTTTCTGGATTAATAGTCCAGCAATAAGACCACTAGACCATCACCTCCCCTTTTGCCTTGGTGTTTATTTTGATCTTGAGGTGTTTAGCCTTTCATTGACATTTTCCTCCTGGGCATATCTCTTGGGTCAATTATTGACATTGTTAGAGTTACACACATTTTTTTGGGAATGAGAAACTGGATAAATGGAAATCTTGGACCATGCCTGGAGTGCGGAAAGCTTACCGTACGACTTCTTGGAACTCAAAAGTAGAATTGTGTTGTGCTTTACTCAATACAGCATACTTTTCCTAAACCAACACCTTATCAACTAGCAGTCTTGATAAACCAGCAAAAATTATATACTTCAATACTGTGATCTATCGCGAAGTCTGAGTATTTGTGCTGTAAATAAAGTGTAACAGTGATGTTTAGACCCCCTGCATTATGTTTCTATTACATTGATCTTAGGATGTTTTTACGTAGGTGTTTTGAGGGATGTTTATGCCTCGAATTTCACTTGGTCAGGGTTTACTCCAGTTATGTGTAACTCTTGATTAACCAGAATATTGGACCAACCGGCACATTCCTCGTCCCATTGGTACCAGTTAATAAAACGTTTGCTGTATTTACAAAAGGTCAAATGACCTGTGGAATATGAAGCTGTTTATATAGAGATGGGATAGTTTATTTTTGCTAGACAAACCGGTGAAAGTAGCATTGGGCTGCAGGTTGTCTAGCAACACTTTTGGACTGTTACTTCCTGTTTTGCCACAGACTGGGGAGTGCTACAGTTTGAAAGAGACCTCAAAGAAGCCTACAGTAAAGATGGGTCTCTCTCTCTTTTCTGGAAACTCTGAAAGATTCTGAAAGCTGAACTGCCAACTAAATGAAAGACCTGGGTCTAACTGACCGGACACCCAAACTGAGATTCTGCCATCAGCCAGCAGCTAACAGCAAGGTGATATCATTAACAGAAACTGAAAGAACTGTGGGAAAGTTACCCCATTCCAGATTTGTAGTTTGGACTTGACAGACATAATTTTCTTTTTTGCCTTCATCTCTACCCATATTTGCAGATTTGTACATCCCCATCATCCCACCTGTGCATGAATGTATAGATGTGTTTTGGGTTTAAAGATGATATAGTCTAGGTTTGCACAGTAGTAGTTAATAGCCAGTTCTTTACTTGTTGAAGACTATGTTTGTTCATAATAAGAAGTTTTGTATTTATTAATGAAACCCAGTGGGAATCTCTTTTCTGTCTTAGATAATAGTAAATGCAAAGTAATCTAACCATCTTGGTGATTCAATTCGACATTGACACTTTGGGACATTTTGTGCAATAGTGGAGCTTGAACCCAGCACAGCTCTCCCCATGTTGAGCTTTAAGACAATGAGTCTATGGTTAGTCCAACAACCTACACATGGCTTTGATCAGCCTGCCCTTCTTTCTCCAAGTAACCAGAGCATTGAAGAAGAGTGCATCCAGAATGTCTTGTTTCAGTTTGGCAGATGGAATACATAGTTAATGATGCGGAGATTAAACTCTGCACACATCTTCACCAGAGGAAGCCTTTTATTGCTGCCAACTCTGTTCCTCTCTGTAGCTCACTCACAGATTGGATTGTCTGTGCCAACTGGTGTTCAAAGCACCAAGGATGATAAGTAAGTCATCAAAGATACAAGCCATTCTTATAATTTATCTTTGCTTTTCTTCAGGGTTTGTTGTTGTTGGTGCATAAATGACGACCATAGTGGTTTGATTTTTCCCCAAGAGGGAATGTCAGAACATTATAAGTCAATCAGTCGTGTCTTTTAGAAAGTTAGTAGGTTTGGAGACCAGGTGGGGCTCCTTACCATAGAGGGCTGTGGGGGCAGAGTCCTTGTGGATATTTAATGCTGAGATAGATAGAACCTTGATCAGTTGGGGAAATCAAAGATTACGGGGAAAGGGTAGGAAAGTGGATGTGAGGAATGATGAAGTGCCTAATGATTGGTGGGACCAAATGGCCTACTCTTGTTCCTATTTCTTATGGTCTTATGGACTGGATAGTAATCCCTACTGCTGTTTCACAACACCCTTCGCTGCTGAGACCACTCCAGTTGAAGGTGTACCCAACAGAAGCTTCTGTAAGTTACTCTTCAGCTAGCTGAGTCTTGCTTATCATGATTACAGAGCTCAGAAAACGCGGATGGAAGAGAGTAAGTGAATGCCTTCAGGAGTAAAATGGCACCAAAGAAAATCAAAGGAAAGAGTAATAGAGGACTGTTGATGCCATCCTTTGAAATTGGCATTCAACCCAGACTCCATCTGACATTTCAGGGTTGATTTAAAAGATCCCGTGGCACTATTTTGAGGTGGAGGCAGGAGTTAATTTAACAAATGTTATTTTTAAAAAATTGTTACATTGCTGTTGGGCTGCGTGTCAATTTCCTGCCACATGGCCACACTTAAAAACAAAATCGCACTTCATTGACTATTAAGTACTTTGGGACATCCTGAAATAGTGAAAGGTCCTATGTAAATGCAGGTAATTCTCTCAGCTCTGCAAATGCTGTTACCTGCTGGATGCATGGGATTGGACACATTGGTGTAACAGGACAACACTAAGAAAATCCCACTTCTCCCCTGTATTTTAGGCACAGACAAATTAATCCTTATGAACTCCATACCTGCGCTTGCCAGAGTACATCGCAATTCTTCATCACCCATCGTAGTGTCTGGGCAATCAAGAAGATGAAGAGAATGGCCATCAACTGAAAAGTCATCATAATGTACGCCACATATAGAATCTTGACCATGAAGGGAGTGTACTTCTCATAGTTCAGCGGGATGTCGAGGAGTCCAAAAAACAGCATGAACATCAGAAAAAGCAGGTTCTTATAGTCATTAAAACGAATCCACTCAGAAGGGTCAAGCTCTTGGAATGACATATGAAGGGCTGGAATGAAAAGTAATCATTGTGAGCATTAAACTCTGAACCTCCGTGTATGACTTGGATGGGGCGTGCAGGATTGCCAACGCACACTCGTCAAAAAGAGAAACTGAATTAAGGGGAGTTTCGCCTTTTGGGTAGAGGGTTCGAGAAAGTGAGGAGCCTGGCTAAATTTCAATAATTGTAAACGACGTAAAACTTAGAAGTGTTTTTATTTCCTTCATTCATTCATGGGATGAGGAGCATTTATTGCCCATCCCTAATTGCCCAGAGGGCAGTTAAGAGTCAAACACATTGCTGTGTGTCTGGAGTCACATGTAGGCCAGACCAGGTAAGGAAGGTAGTTTCCTTCCCTAAAGGACATTAGCAAACCAGATGGGTTTTTCCCAACAATCGGCAATGGATTCATAGTTATCTTTAGACTGTTAATTCCAGATATTTATTGAATTCAAATTCCACCATCTGCCGTGGCAGGATTCGAGCCCAGGTCCCCAGAACATTATCTAGGTCTCTGCATTAACAGTCTGGCAACAACATCACGAGGCCATTGCCTCCCCATAGTTGTGAACTGTGAGGAGGATAGTGAGGGAGTTCAAGAGGACAGAAACAGGATGGTGATGTGGGTGGACACATAGCAGTTTAAATTTAACAGAGGGAATTATGAAGTGGTACATTTTGGTCAGAACATCAATGACATAAAGTAAGGGGAACATTTAAAAGGGGAGCAGGAATAAGAGATCTGGGGGTGCTGGTGGTTGTGTTCAGAAACGATTGAAGATGGCAGAATATATGGAGAAATCAGTTAAAAGGGCATGTAGAATCCTGGACTGCATAAATAGAAACAAAGTACAAAAGCAAGGAAATTATGACAGATCTTTAGAGAACAATGGTATGGTCTCAAGAGGAATATTGTGTGCAATTCTCGGTATCAAAAAGGATGTGATATCTTTAAAGAGGCTGCAGAAAAGTCTGCCAGTGGTGAGAGACTTCAGTTAAATGGATAGATTGGAGAACCTAGGACTGCTCATCTTAGAGGTGCGAGGTTTGGAGGAAATTTGATAGCAGTCTGCCGAGGCATGAGAGGTCTGGACACAGTTGATGGAAATGATGGGAGAGGCAAAGCCAGAGGGCACCACATTAAAGATGATGAGCAAAAGAGCAACAAGTGCGATGGGGAATAAATGTTTTCACACAGCAAGTGGTTAGGATTCGCCTGAGAATGTGGTGCAGACAGATTCCACTGTGGTTTTCAGAAGGGAATTTGATGACCACCTGAAGGGAAAAGAAATTGCTGGCCTACAGGAGAATGAGACTAGCTAAATTGCTCTTGCGAAGGGCCAGCACAAATGCCTTCTTTGTTGTAATTAGTCAATAAGTATTTTCCATAAAGGAGTTTTCTTGGAGTTGGCAAGAGAAGTGAGCAGTATAACTTGTTGGTCTATTGGAACACCGATGCCCAAACATCTAGATGTGGGAATTGACAGATCAATTCAAATAACTCCAAATTGCAGAGTTTGGTAAACCACAAGCTGCATTGCCAAAAATCTGCAGGAGAGCAGAGACTAAGCAGATGTGACAAAGAAGGTGACAGATAGAGTTCAAATGAGGCAATTCTACATGAAAGAAAAAGCACCATTTAAAATGGCCAGCTACACAGGCAAAAAATTAAAGAGTTTGGACAAATGTCTTCTCAGTGACTGTGGTCAATTCTCTCCCTTCAAGGTATTTTTGAAGCAGAATCTATAAACCCTATTACAATGAAATGTGCAGTTGTTTGAAAGAGAGGAGTATCAGAAATTATGCTGATTAAGTAGGAGTTAGTGAGTATTGGCCTGGTTATGTGGGTGAAAGTGGGTGGAATCACAGACAGGGAGCCTGGAATTTTGGATTTTCTTTCAGGTGGTGGAGTTTTAACACCATAACATGCCTTTATTTGACATGGGTCTCACAGAAAATGTTAGCTGGTATTGCAAAGTTGGGCAGAGTACTTGTGCATTGAGAGGCAGAAAGTCAGAATTTGGCATTAGTAAAACGCGAGGGGGGGAAAGCATTGTGTGGTCCCTTTCAAAGATCTTATGCTTTTTCTATGCTTAGAGATTTAAAATAAATATCTGTGAGCAGCAGCTTGAAAGTTTGCAAGTACACAGATAGCACCTGAATTGAAACATTTGTATTGAAAGGCCATACAGTTAGCAGGACAAGCAGCAGTTTTTTTTTTACCAAGACAACTTTTGAATTTAGCCAATCAATTTGAGCCAGGTACTTAGATACCAAAAACCAATAAATTTAAATCTGATGGTTTTGACAACATAGGACCAATCCTATTGTAAATAACATTGATATGTAATCAAGAGTATAAAGGAGGGGGGCAGTTGGACAAAGCCCCAGAGCTAACTGCCCCTGGCTCCCAAAGAGAAACGCTGGCTCTCACAGACTCCTCTATGTCTTAGCGAAAGCACCATCTAAATAACAACGGTACCTACAGCACAACTAGTTAATATTCCTGACTGGAGAATTGATGGAGAAGGCACAGAAAATCCCAGAAGACATGTAACCTGGCTGTAAATTTGAAAGACTAAATTCTATTCCTTTTTTGTACGTGTGACTTGTGTTTATTGGCACAGCAAACTATTAAATTTTGTTTTATTCAGGAATAGTTAGTAGTTAGAATGGATTTATTCATTCTGTTAATAATTTAGCTAGCTTGTTTACTGTTAGAGTTAGATAAATAAATTGTTATTGTTGATTGTAAAGCGAGTGACAGGGATTTATTTTATTTAACCACTAGAAGTTGCTGAAAGGCAGGTTACACCACTTTTCACACTCATTTTACAGATTATAGGGCAAGGTGCTCACCTTTGGGTGTTTTGGTGTTAGTTTTCAGGTCTGGGGGGTGCAACCTCCGCTTTATAACATTTGATTGGCATTCTGTCAGGCAGGCAGATCTCCAGAAAAGGCTGCAGAACCAAGACATATGTATACCCGAGAATGGGGAAAGAGTTTGATTCCAGAAGGTTGGAAAGGTGTGATCTCCAATCCCATGGGTGAGAGATGGTCTGATCTTGGATCCCAGGGGTTTTGTCAGAGTCGCAAATGATGCTGAACTTTGTGCAATCATTAGGCAATTTGGGGGTCAAGTTTTAGATATGTAAATTTTCCCTTTGTGAGTGCGAAAAACATTTTAAAAAATGCTTGTGCCTTAAAATCTAGACCAAGGCCTCTTTTGGGGAATGATACTGAAGCAGATTTGATGGGGCCAGTTTCCAAATGATATTCTGTGATTGGATTATTTCATCTAGATAAATCTCTTCATTCAATTTGGGCAAAAGAAAATGCCCCCTTTCCTAATTTAACAACATTTTATTGCATTTGGGGTCGATACATCACTTTGGGAAAGACCTTCAAAGTCGACATCTAATAGTCGCAACAAAATGAGATTCATTTAAAATTACCTGTTGTAAATCCAATGAGCACCATCACCATCAGTATCACAAATGTCAAAAATTTCTCCAAAATAATCTAAGAAGCAAATTTAAAAAGATGTTAAATTAATAACACTTCTCCTAAAGGAGGTGGTATATTGTATATGTGTCTGCATTGTTAAAAAGGAGCGGTTGCCTAGCGACATGACATATTGGAAATTTAGGACCAAGCTGCCCGTGAATTTCGTATTAACAATATCAAAGATTTGGGGTGATATTTCCATGATAACTGCAGATGAAGGAATGTTATGTGAAAACATCAACCATTACTATCACCAACTGCCACTAGTTGACTGCAACATTTTTAAAATTTTATCAAAAAGTTTTATAAAAATCATCAAAATAAAATATATCCACATTTGCTATGCAGGATATAACTCGAGGTCATCAATTTTCCACATTCATCTGCATTTGGCTGACTGCCACCATTTTCAATTCACAATGAAACACCAGACTAGGAATAGTCCCTCCTGCCCCAACAGCACTGCCAAATGATTCCAATCAGACGTCACATGACACCAGGTTATCGTCCAACAGGTTTATTTGAAATCACAAGCTTTCGGAACGCTGCTCCTTCACCTGACGATGGAGCAGTGCTACGAAAGCTTGTGATTTCAAATAAACCTGTTGGACTATAACCTGATGTCATGTGATTTCTGGCTTTGTCCACCTCAGTCCAGCGCCGGCAAAATGATTCTAGCTAAGTGGATCTCTATCTCAACTCGAATTTCCCAGTTTTGTTCCATATCCTTGTCACCCTTCCCTGACAAAAATCAAGCGATTTCAATCTTGAAAGGTTCAATTCAGCCCTGGGCTTTTTGGCAGAGAGTTCCAGATTTTTACTACACTTTGAAACGCAATGTCTTTCCAACTCCACTTTTGAATGGCTTGGCTCTAACATTAATATTACGGGCTGGAAATCTACAGGTAGCCTCTGGTCAGCTGGCAGATGAAACATCCCTCATCCCCTGGCTTAGTTGCACACCACTCATGCCCCATTGCTGGAGGGGAGGCAGTGATGTAGTAGTAATGGGCTAGTACTCAAGATACACAGTATAATACCCGTTTCAGGAATTCAAATCCCACTATGACAAATGGCAAAATCTGAATTCCGTTAATAAAGCTGGAATTGAAAGCCAAATGGTGCGACAGGCTTGAGGGGGTGAATGAAGGAACTCAGCAGGACTCACAGGACCCGAAAACAATAACTCAGTTTCTCTCTCCACAGATGCTGCCAGATCGGCTGAGTTTCCACAGCAATTTCTGTTTTCACTTCAGGTTTCCAGCGTCCAAAGTTCTTTTTGTTTTTGAGGGATGAACAGTCCGCTTCAGCTCCTCATGGATATGTTCAAACTATATATCTAGGGGATGGAGGTGGCGAAGAGGGCAGTTCTTCAGCTTGAGTGGGAAAACAGACGGCAGCTCGAGTGGGACCAGGTTCACTTCAGATCAGCCGCATTTAAATGTTGTCTTTTAAATATAGATGAGTAACCACTAAACCCTCCCACATGGAAGAGGCAGGGTTGTTCGTAGACCTCATATTGCAAAATCTCGCAGTTTATGAGCTAACTGAAAGAAAAAGGGGCGGCATGGTGGCTCAGTGGTTAGCACTGCTGCCTCACAGTGCCAGGGACCCGGGCTCAATTCTAGCCCTGGGCGACTGTCTGTGTGGAGTTTACACATTGTCCCCATGTCTCCTTCTACAGTCCAAACATGTGCAGGTTAGGTGGGATTGGCCATGGTAAATTACCCATAACGTTCGGGGATGTGCAGGGTAGGTGCATTAGCCATGGGAAATGCAGGGTTATGGGGATAGGGTAGGGTGATTGTGGGTGTGATTCTCTTTGGAGGGTCGGTGTGGACTTGTTGGGCCGAATGGCCTGTTTCCACACTGTAGGGATTCTATTCAATATCTCAACCGAAGCCACGTGCAATGTGGCCGATCAGCTATCAATAACTGCAGCTCTCCAAAACCCGCAGCTCAGCTTGAATTACCTGTACATCCTTGAAGGTGGAGTCATAGAGACGTACAGCACAGAAACAGACCCTTCGCTCCAACTCATCCATGCCGACCAGATATCCTAAATTAATCTGATCCCATTTGCCAGAAGCTGGCCTTCTATCCCTCTAAACCCTTCCTATTCCTATACCCATCCAGATGCCTTTTAAATGTTGTAATTGTACCAGCCTCCACCACTCCCTCTGGCAGCTCATTCCATACACGCACCACCCTCTGGATGAAAACGTCATTCCATACGCGCACTAACATGTGCATGAAAAAGTTAGGTAGACAGGGCAGTGAAGAAGGCATTTGGTGTGCTTGCCTTTATTGGTCAGTGCATTGCGTGTAGGAGCTGGAAGGTCATGTTGCAGCTGTACAGGACATTGGTTAGGCCATATTTGAAATACTATGTTCAATTCTGGTCTCCCTGCCATAGGAAAGATATTGTGAAACTTGAAAGGGTTCAGAAAAGATTTACAAAGATGTTACCAAGACTGTAGGATTTCAGTTATAGGGAGAGGCTGAATAGGCTGGGGCTATTTTCCCTGGACCATCGGAGTCTGAGGGGTAACCTTATAGAGGTCTATAAAATCATGAGGGGCATGGATAGAGTGAAAAGCCAAGGTCTTTTCCCCAGGGTGAGGGAGCCCAAAACTAGAGGGCATAGGTTTAAAGCAGGAGAGGAAAGATTTCAAAGGGATTTAAGGGGCAATTTTTCATGCAGAGGGTGGTGCATATATATGGAATGAGCTGCCAGACGAAACGGTGGAGGTTGGTACAATTACAGCATTTAAAAGGCATCTGGATGGGTATATGAATAGGAAGGATTTAGAGGGACAGGGGCCAAATGCTGGCAAATGGGACTAGATTTATTTAGGATATCTGGTCAGCATGGATGAACTGGGTTGAAGGGTCAGTTTCTGTGCTGTACAACTCTATGACTCTATATTAGATATTTGGTTGTTCAAAAGGCACTTGATAAGGTATCCAACATAAGGCTACTTAATAAGGGGGGTGGTATATATGCATAGATAGTGGATTGGCTAATTAATGACAGAGTTCGGATAAAGGGGGCATTATCATGACGGCAACCTGTAAGTAGTGGAATGCCACAGGGATCAGGGATGGGGTCACTGCTATTTGCTATCTATATATTTGGATGAGGAAACTGAACGCTCTATAGTCAAGTTAGCAAATGACACAAAAACAGGTGGGAAGGCAAGTAGTGAAAATGTCACAAGAATCTACAAAGTCACAGAATCCCTACAGTGCAGATAGAGGCCATTTGGTCCATCAAGTCTACATCAACCCTCCGAAGAGCAAATCCAAAAAGCCTGCATCAAAGTTCAACAGGTAATGTAGCAGGCAAATGTACTGTTGGCCTTTACCACAAAAGGAATGGAGTGAAAAAAATAGGGAAGTCCTGCTAAAGCTATACAAGACACTGGTCAGACCACACACAGAATACAGTGAGCAGTTTTGGGCCTCTTATCTAAGGATAATTACACTGGTATTGGAGGCAGTCCAGAGAAGGCTCACTAGGCTGATACCAGATGTGGAGGGACTGTCTCATGAAGAGAGATTTTTCTAGGTTGAGCATGTACTCATTGAAGTTTAGAAGAATGAGAGGCAACCTTATAAGATTCTTAGGAGGCTTGACAATGTTGATGCTGAGACGTTGCACCTCCTTATGGGAGCATCTAGGGCCACAGGGTATTATCTCAGATTAAGCAGTTGTCCAGTTAGGACAAAGATGAGGAGGAATTTCTTCTCTCAGATGGTAGTGAGTCTATGGAACTCTCTACCACAGAGGGCTATGGAATCTTGGTCATTAAGTATATTTAAGGCTGAAATAGACAGATTTTCAATTGATTAGGGAATCAAGGGTTATGGAATAAAGGCAAGAAAGTAAAACTGAGCATTATCAGGTTAGCTATGATCTCATAGACAGGCAGACAGACTCAGTGGGCAGAAAGGCCTACCTTTGCCTCTCGTCTTATAGTCTAAGAGGACTACAGTACATTCCTATACCAATCTACAGCGTTATGGCATAGGTGGCCATACAAATAGCTGTCTCGTGCTCCTGTTCTCAACTTCAGCGGTGTTAGGAAGCATGGACCTCAGCCACGGGTCAGAGGTCAGAGGTGGTGGAAAGAAGAGGGAGAGAAGAGTTGTGTTTTGGATTCTGAGGGGTGTACAGTGACTTGGAAGGAGACTGGTCTGCACCAAGGTGTAGATTAGGGAAACTGAGGGCTTGGGGATTGGTGGGAGCCAAATGGGGAGGCAGGAAACTGCTATAAAAAGAAGAAATAGATACATTTTACTGATCTAGAGATTTGGAGAAAGATACCCACTATCTAGTGGTGATGCTATTTGGTAGAAGGGTACAAACTCACGGAATTCCTATTTCCGGTAAAATAGGACAGGGTATCGGATGGAATCTCTTACCCATCCAGCCCATTGCCAAACATGTCAACAGTAAATCAGTTAACTTTCATTGACTTTGCACAGAATGCTGACTTGTAGCGAACATTTGGAGCACCCTGTTCCTACGTGTTCCTTCCTGTTTTAATGCGTTCCCTGTTCAGTATTAAAAGAACATTTCAGTCTAGAACTACGTACTGTTTGTCCCCTGTGCAGATTCAGTTTGTTTACCTTCTGGAGAAGGATGGCAAATGGCCCAAGTATCCGGAATCCCCGGAAGAAGTATATGGAATTGCACCAGGCCAAGGCGATGGCAAGAGCCATACAGAACCCCTCAGCACCTGCACTCGTCAACCGTAGGAGGAGAATCAGCAGAACCAGGAACGCAAAGCAGATTCTGTCAAGGGAAAAGGAGGACAACCAAGATTGCAGTGATTGATTAGGCCACTATTGGAATAATGCGTTCAGTTCTGATCTCCCTGCTATAGGAAGCATGTTGTTAAACTGGAAAGGGTTCAGAAAGGATTGACAAGGATGTTGCCAGGGTTGGAGAGTTTGAGCTACAGGAAGAGACTGAATACGCTGTGGCTATTTTCCCTGGAGTATCAGAGGCTGAGGGGTGACCTTATAGAGGTTTATAAAATCATGAGGGGCCTGGATAAGGTAAGCAGACAAGGTTTTTTCCCCAGGGTAGGGGAGTCCAAAACTAGAGGGCATAGGTTTAAGGTCAGAGGGGAAAGAATTAAAAGGGACCTAAGGGGCAACTTTTTCACTCAGAGGGTTGTGCATGTATGGAATGAGCTGCCAGAGGAAGTGGTGGGGAGGCTGGTTCAATTACAACATTTAAAAGGTATCTGGATGGGTATATGAATAGGAAGGGTTTAGAGGGATATGGGCCAAATGCTGGCAAATGAGACTAGATTAGTTTGGGATATCTGGTTGGCGTGGACAAGTTGGACTGAAGGGTCTGTTTCTGTGCTGTACACCTCTATGGCTCCAAGAGTGAATAAAACTGCGGCAGACAGAGTTGAGCGTGGAAATGTATCCACTTTGGATTGAAGGAAGACAGAACTATGTATTTTGTAAGTGGTGCAAAGCTAGGGATTCTGCAGAAGCAGAGCGATTCAAGTACTTTAAGTAATTTCTTCTTCGGTTTTTTTTTGCCTGAAGGCAGGTTTGATCCACAGTACCACACCTCCATCATCGGAGGGCAATGAGGCAGATCTCAGATATACAACCCAGCCAGAACTTGACTTGATAGAGGTGTACAAAATGATCAGAGGTATAGATAGAGTGGACAGCCAGAGACTTTTTCCTAGGGTGGAGGTAGCTATTACGAGGGGGCATAGTTTTAAAGTGAGTGGAGGTAGATATAGGGGAGACGTCAGAGGTAGGTTCTTTACTCAGAGAATGGTAGGGGCGTGGAATGCATTGCCGGAGAGGGTAGTGGAGTTGGCCTCATTAGGGGCGTTTAAGTGGCTATTAGATGGGCATATGGATGATAGTGTAAGGTAGGGGTGGAGGTTAGATAGACCTTAGGTTTAGGGTAAAAGTTCGGCACAACATCATGGGCCGAAGGACCTGTACTGTGCTATACTGTTCTATGTTCTACGTTCTATGTTCTAGAACATGGATCGAACCCTGAATCATTGGCACTGATCTGATCCATGCCAGTCTGTTCAAATTATTTCTCACGTCTTAACACTAGAAAGATAGATTGATAGACTTTTAACAGGCAGGCTGGTAAATATCGATAACAAGGAGGAGCAGGAAAGATGATGTTTTGGGTCTGGACCCTTCTTCAGAAATGGGGCAAGGGATGGGGGCTCTGAAATAAATAGAGAGAAGAGGGAAGCGGTGATAGCAGGTGGATAGTGGAACAAATAGGTGGAGAGAAGACGGACAGGTCAAGGAAGCAGGGATGAAGCTAGTAAAGGTGAGTGTAGGTAGGAAGTGGGGGTGGGGGTTGGTCAGTGATGAGGGAGGGGCGGGTAGGTCGGAGAGAAGACAGACAAGTCAAGGAGGCGGGGATGAGCTGGGCTGGTCTTGGGATGAGGTCGTGGGTGGGGAGTTTTTGAAGCTTGTGAAGTCCACTTTACTTTACTGGACTTTATGAGCTTCAAAATCTCCCCATCCACAACCTCATCCCAAGACAAGCCCCCCGTCTTGTCCCCGCCTCCTTGATCTGTCCATCTTCTCTCCCACCTATCTGCTCTGCTATCCACCTTCTATCATCGTCTCCCTCTCTCTCTATTTATTTCAGAGCCCCCTTCCCCCTCCCCCATTTCTGAAGGGTCCAGACCTGAAACGTCAGCCTTCCTGCTCCTCTGATGCTGCTTGGCCTGCTGTGTTCATCCAGCTCCACACCTTGTTATCTCAGACTCCAGCATCAGCAGTTCCTACTATCTCTGGTAAATATAGAGTAAATAGGCCTAATGAAACAACAGAAGCAACTTGAGGAGCTGAATGGTTTCCACATGTTCCAACTTTTACAAGAAAAAATTGGATTGAGAGCTGGGACATGAAAAGAGAGAGAAAAGGGAAGTGAAAGGAAGGGACAGATGACAGAAAGAAAGAGAAGATGGAACTTGAGATGGGGAGTAAGGAAAGTGGAAAATATGATGGAGAGAAGGAGAGGCAGATCGGCACAGAGTGAGAGAGAGAGAGAGAGAGAGAGAGGAGAAAGAGTGAAAGACAGACAAGGGGGGAAACAGGTTGGGAAAATAATTTCAGTGTGTGTGATGGACAGAGACCAAAGCAGTGAGAACCACAAAGAGGCAGAGGGAGAGGAGGAAAGAGACAGAGAGAGAGGGAGAGGAGGAAAGAGACAGAAGGACAGGAGGAATGAGACAGTAGCAGAGGAGGAAAAGGACAGAAGGAGAGGAGGAAAAAGGCAGAGAAGGAAAGAGATAGAGGAGGTAAGAGACAGAGGGAGTGGAGGAAACAGACAGAGAGAGAGGAGGAAAGATACAGAGGAAGAGGAGAAAAGAGACAGAGGGAAAGAAAAAGAGCAGGAGAATGAGACATGCCGTAACAGATTGAGACAGAAGAAAAAGGAGAGAGAAATGCAGAGAGAAAGCTCAAGGGCTGGGAGCAGAGCAATGGGAACAGACACAGATGGGGAAAAGAAGCAATAAATTTAATAATAGGAAGATGAGAGGAAAAAAATAATGTCCCAAACTGATGAAAAATACAAAGTGAATAAGAAACAGTGGAGAATAGATAGTGAGAGTGGGAAGTCATAGTTAAAATGTTATCAAAGAGAGAATAACAACTGGCAAGAAACATAATAAGGGAGGGAGGAGAAAACTTTTGGGTCATGGTCTGAAAAACGAAAAGGAAAAAAAAACAAACTGCAACAAAAGTGGACTATTTAAAAAGTTAGTATTTAGGATGCTGCCTCAAAAGGTGTAGTGAACAAATGCACTAAAACAGAATCATATTGACTACAAAGGTTTGATTCTTAACACTGGACTGAGCCAAAAGATTTTCATATGACAGAACTGGAAATATTATAATCATAGAATCCCTACTGTGTGGAAACAGGCCTTTTAGCCCAACAAGTCCCCACTGACACAAAGAGCATCCCACCCAGACCCATCCCCCTAATCTACACATCCCTGAACACCTAATCCACCCTAACCTGCACATCTTTGGACTGTGGGAGGAAACCGGAGCACCCAGAGGAAACCCACGCAGACACAGGGAGAATGTGCAAACTCCACACAGACAGCCTGAGGGTGGTATTAAACCCGGGTCCCTGGCATTGTGAGGCTGCAGTGCTAACCACTGAGCCACCGTGCTGCCCCTCATTGCTTTGGAGGGTCAGTGCGGTTGGGCCGAATGGCCTGCTTCCATATTGTAGGGATTTTATGAATTTGGAGTCAACAACATTGCTGAGGGTCTCGAGTCACATGTAGGCCAGACTAGGAAAGGACAACAGTTTTTCCTTCCCTGCAGGGCATTTGTGTGTCCGTCATAGGATTTTACAACAATTGACAATGGTTTCATTGCCATCATTAAACTTTTAATTGAATAATTTTTGTCCTGCAATAATGGGATTTTAACACAGAGCAGGAGAAAGCAACTTAAACTTTAGTGGAGAAACTCAGTAACTGAAACTTTTGTCAAAATGATGACTTTTTAAAATCGGAGTAAAGTAAGAGGTAAAGATTCTGGGAGCAGTTCTATAGATGTTGGGGCTGGCTACAAACTCTATCACTAATATGGGGGTAATATGAGGAGAACGCACAGAAATCAAAAATTAGAGAACAGTTTGTGGAATTTTACAGAACAGAAGGTCACTCAGCCTCTCTTGCGGGGTCTATGAAAGAGCGATGTAATCAGTTCCAATACCTTGGCTTTTAACCCAGAGCCAAAGTATTTTTCAAAAATACATCCAATTCCTTTATGAAAGTTACTACTGAAGTAGAATCCAACAGTGTTTCTAGGGCAATAGGTATTGTCTTTCTCTCTCTCTCACACACACACACACTCACGCGCACACACATGCACGTGCAAACACACCACGTGCACACACACACGCACACGCACGTGCACACACACACGCACACGTACGCGCACACACACACGCGTGCAAACACACACACATGCACACCCTCGCGCATACACACTCATGCGCACACACACAAACACACACAAGCACGCGCACGCACACACACATGTGCATGCACACACAGACACACGCACACACACACGTGCGGACGTGCACACACACACATGTGCGCACATGCACACACACGCGTACACACACACGCATACACACACACGCGTGTGCGCATACACACAGTGCATGCAGGTGGGCACGCACACACACATGAATGCACGCGCACACAAGCACACAAACACGCACACATGCACACGCATACACGCACACACACACTTGCACGAACACACAAACATGCATGCACACACATGCACACGTGCACACACACACGTGTGCACGCGCACACACACTTGCATGCACGCACACACACACATATGCACACACACACGCACAAGCACATGTGGGTACAGTCTTTTTATTCTTTCATGAAATGTACATATTGCTGGCAAGGCCCATCCCAAATTTCGCTTCAATTCAATGGTTTGCTGAGTCACTGCAGAGGCCTCAACTACGTTGCTATGGTCTGGAATCATGTTTAAGCCACTCTGGATGAGGATGACACTGAAACTTTGACTTAGACATATTAGATCCTGAGGGGTCTTCACCAGGTAGATGAGGAGAGGATGCTTCCTCTTCTTCAAGAACCTAGAATGAGGGGTCACTGTTTGAAAATCGGTGGTTGTCCGTTTAAAACAGAGATGAGGTGATTATTTTCTCTCAGAGGGTCGTGTGTCTTTGGAACTCTCTTCCTGAACAGGTGATGGAAGCAGTGTTTTCGAATATATTTAAGGCAGCGGTAAATAGATTCTTGTTAAGCAAGGGGCGAAATATTAAGTGGGGGAAGGTGGAACACAGGTTTGAGGTTACAATCAGATCATGACGTTACACAGTAGTAGATGGGCTGAATGGCCTACCCCTACTCCTTGTCCATATGGCTTCCCTAAAGGAGATAGTGAACCAGACAGTTTTTACAACAATCAATAATACGTTCACGGTCACTATTCCAGATTGTACTTGTGGAGTTTAAATTCCACTAGCTGCCACAGTGGCATCTGAACCTGTTCCCAGAGCACTAACCTGGCCCTCTGAATGGTTAGTCCGGTGACATTACCACTACACCATCATCTTCCTATAGAACCCAACAAGATACTATCATCATTAAAAGAAAGGCAGAGATTGGAAGAAGTGATGAAACAGAGAAAACTGGAGCTGTGATAATTTGCAAATTAATGCCAGGTTTAACTGGACCGTTTTAAAAAACACGTTGTCATTTTGCTTACATTATAACATGGAATGGGCCTCCAAGGATGGTTTTCCCAAAATATCCTGCTGTTCCATATCGTAAGATGTCAGCACTCTAGGGAGAGAAAACCGAGATGAGCAACTCACAAACATTTCTTACAATGCAGGGGCAGATTTTCACTTTCAGTGCTGACGGAGCCCTGGAAACAGGGCTTGGGAAGCTTCAGCCTTAGCCCACTGCCTCATGCTGTGGATCAGAATATCATGGCTACAACTCTCACTTCAGAAACTCCACCCCTTGATGAAAGTTAATGCAGTCGGTTCTGATATAATGCGATAGTTCTGTTCCCGTTCAATCTCGCATTATAAGAACATTGTGCTGTAATGAGGCCAGAATTGCGTTATAGCCAATACAAGTGGGGAAAGTTCACATTCTACAAATAGTGGTCTAAATTCTTCAATCATGTTAAAGCCAATTCTCATTGAAAAAACATGCGTTATAACAGAACTGACTGTACTCTAGTGCACCACTGAAGTCATGCTGCATGGTCAGAGGGATGTCTTCATATGGGACATCAAACCGAGGCTCTGTCCTCTGGGAGGATATAAAATGATCACCTGGCTACATTTTGAAGAAGACCTGACCAATATTTATTCCTCAACTGGTATCGTTAAAACAGGTGATCTGACCATTATCACAGCACTGTCTGTGGGAGCTCACTGGTCACAAACTGGTTGCCTCACTTCCTACACAGGTATGACTACACTTCAACAAAAAGTACTTCACTGTTTGTGAAGGACTTTGGGATATCCTAAGTCTGTGAATTATAGAGCAGTTACAACACAGAGGAAGGCCATTAAACTCCATTTGCTTTGCCAGAGCAACTTAGCGAGTCCCACTCTTCCTGTAGCCCTACAATTCCTTTCCCTTCATATGAACAAAGAACAAAGAACAAAGAAAATTACAGCACAGAAAACAGGCCCTTCGGCCCTCCAGGTCTGCGTTGATCCAGATCCTCTATCTAACCTGTCGCCTATTTTCCAAGGATCTGTATCCCTCTTCTCCCTGCCCATTCATGTATCTGTCTAGATACATCTTAAATGATGCTATTGTGCCCGCCCCTACCACCTCTGCTGGCAACACGTTCCAGGCACCCACCACCCTCTGCGTAAAGAACTTTCCATGCATATCTCCCTTAAACTTTCCCCCTCTCACCTCGAAATCATGACCCCTAGTAATTGAGTCCCCCACTCTGGGAAAAAGTTTCTTGCTATCCACCCTGTCTATACCTGTCATGATTTTGTAGACCTCAATCAGGTCCCCCCTCAACCTCCGTCTTTCTAATGTAAATAATCCTAATCTACTCAACCTCTCTTCATAGCTAGTGCCCTCCATACCAGGCAACACCCTGGTGAACCTCCTCTGCGCCTTCTCCAAAGCATCCACATCCTTTTGGTAATGTGGCGATCAGAACTGTACGCAGTATTCCAAATGTGGTCGAACCAAAGTCCTACACAACTGTAACATGACCTGCCAACTCTTGTACTCAATACCCCGTCCGATGAATGAAAGCATGCCGTATGCCTTCTTGACCACTCTATCCACCTGCGTTGCCACCATCAGGGTACAATGGACCTGAACACCCAGATCTCTCTGTGCATCAATTTTCCCCAGGGCTTTTCCATTTACCGTATAGTTCGCTCTTGAATTGGATCTTCCAAAATGCATCACCTCGCATTTGCCTGGATTGAACTCCATCTGCCATTTCTCCGCCCAACTCTCCAATCTATCTATATTCTGCTGCATTCTCCGACAGTCCCCTTCACTATCTGCTACTCCACCAATCTTAGTGTCATCTGCAAACTTGCTAATCAGACCATCTATACCTTCCTCCAGATCATTTATGTATATCACAAACAACAGTGGTCCTAACACAGATCCCTGTGGAACACCACTGGTCACAGTTCTCCATTTTGAGAAACTCCCTTCCACTACAACTCTCTGTCTCCTGTTGCCCAACCAGTTCTCTATCCATCTAGCTAGTACACCCTGGACCTCACGCAACTTCACTTTCTCCATCAGCCTACCGTATACTTTGCCTATTCCCTTCTGAAAGCCACCAGTAAATCTGCCTCCTCCACATTCTCAAGTCTTGTAATCCAAATCCAAAACACTCACTGCTTTAAAAATCTCTTCCTCATCGCCTCATTTAAATCTCTTTAAGCATCGCTCCAGTTCTTAACCCTTCCACCAATGAGAAAGATCTAGATGTGTAATGATTTCAAACAATTGAAGAATAACAACCCAGCTTCTGCAGTCTATCTTTCTAACTGAAGTCCCCCATCGCTGGAACTATAGTAGTAAATCTTTCTAGCATCTTCACATCGTTCCTAATGCAGAACTGAATGGAACAGTGCAGTTGAGATCAAGCCAGTTTTTTTTTTTAAATTGTTTTTATGCCTCCATTTATAAAGCTCAGTCTCCTGTGTGCCTTTATCAAATTGTGGTGTCACCTTTAACCATTTGTTCACATATACCCTCGGTCTCCGCTCCTGTAATACTTCTGAGAATTGGATTCTTTAAATTAATATCAGCACTCTTCGTTCTTTTTTTCTAAAATGTATCTGTTCGCATTATATTTCATTTGGCATGCATCTACCCATTCCATTATTCCAAGCACTCTTGAAGTTTATCACTATCCGCTTCACAGTTCACAATACTTCCAAGTTTTCTATCATCAGTAAATTTTAAAACTGTGCACTGTACATTTATGTCCAAGCTATTAACATAGATGAAGGGGAGCAGCAAGCACAGTACCACCCCCCCATCAGTATCCCACTCTATGTTGTCCCCAGTACATAAGACAACTATGGACTATGGACTACTCCTTCCCTTCCTGCCATTCTGCCAACGTGGTATTATGCGCTGTCCATTTTATTCCATAGACTCCTCAGTGAAGTTGGAACCAATTGGGGGCAGAATCTTGTGCCCTCCCCCATGATAGGTTTGGTGGTAGGGGGCATTGATTTGGGCAGGAGGGAGGCAGGCCCATGCGGGATTAAGAACAAAAGTAGAAATTGCTGGAAAAGCTCAGCAGGTCTGGCAGCATCTGTGGAGAGAAATTGTTTCGAGTCCAGTGACGCTTCCTCAGGACTTGCTAATTAAGCCTGTGTTGAGAAGGCCCGTTGACAGTCTTCCTTATCCTGTGCTGCCATTGATGCCCTTGACTAGCCAAATCATTGCCCACTCGTGGCCTTCATCCCAACTCCACTGGGGTTTACTAAGTAGAGGGCAGGGGTCCCACCATGCAGGGAGCACCAACCGACTCTAGCATCATGGCCTTTGGGGTCCCAGGGTGGGTCCTCGTTGAAAGGCACTGTGTGAGGGAACCCAATGTTGGGAAAATGGGTAGGAGTTGGCTATTGCCATTCCTTGTCTTACTGCTGACCCTCCTTGATCAGAGCTCTCCAATGGATACAGTACTGGCAGTAGCCTGCCTTTGGCCACTGATGGGACTTTCACCTCTAGGGTCACTGGTCCCGTGGGAAAGTCTGCCTTTGTTCCTGTCAAGTGCCTTTGTGACATTTATTTCCATTGGGTTTCCTCACTTATTCCAATGGGGTTTCCCCAAAATGGACAACGTGGGGTTCCCATCAGTTATCACGTCCATAGAATATATCCCAGTTGCCTTCATTAAATCCAGCCCGATATAGGACACATTATTAAACATCTTTTGGAAGACAACGCACAAAAGATGGGTTTTTATGGAGAATCAATGAGACCTTCACAGTCACGGTTCCTGAGAAAAGTATTCAATTCCAGATTTTATTGAATTTAAATTCAACCAGCTGCAATGTTGGGATTTGAACCCTTGTTTCCTGGCCCTCTGAATCACTCAGCTCATCACGATTATCACGACACTACTGTCTGCCCTCGGTGCTCCATATCGGGCAAATAAAAATTTCACTGGCATTTGTTGGGATATTCTTTTTTTTTAAATCATAGTGATAGATTAAATTCCACAGACTCACTCAGCAAAGCAAAACCAAACTTCCTTACTTCTATCAGAAGGATGGCTATGGCTCCAAAAACAGAAATGATCTCCCCCACCAAGCGGATGTAATCTTCATTTGATACGTAGCACAGCTAGAATCAAGAGCGGAGAGTGAACGTTACCCCCATTGGCATGGCAATAGTTCAAAGGATGAGATTAGTGTCAGTGTTAGGATTTTAGTAGAGCAAGCAACTTCTTTTCTACTATTTCACTAAAAGGCACAAATCATTGAAAAGGTGAGCGCTAAAGTTTTCATGTCTCGCCAAACTATGAAGAGTCTCACTTCTTAGTTTTTCAAACAAAATTTTAACCAGGTTGAGAAATGTTTACTAATGCTCCTAGGAAGTTGCTTCACTTCAGCCACAAACTCTGCACTAAACATCCAAGTAACTTCTTAAAAATATCACAAATAAACAAAATATATGATTTTACGTCTATCGGTTGTAACACCACTTACATTTTATTTATATCACAGAGGGTCATGCAGTCTGTAGACTAATGCCTCTATAATTAGATTTCTAGGTTAGGTTAGATTACAGTAGAGTAGAGGAAAAATGGCAATTGGCAACTATTATATTTAAATAGAACAGTACAGCAGAGGAACAGGCCCTTCAGCCTACCATGTCTCTACTGACCATGATCCTATTCTAAACTGATCCCATCCGCCTGCACATGGTCCATATTCCTCTATTCCCTGCCTGCTCATGTGTCTGTCTAATGCCTCTTAAACGTTGCTTTCATATATGCTTCTACTATCTCCCACGGCAGTGCGTTCCAGGCACCTACTACCCTTTGTGTAAAAATCTTCCCTCGCACATCTCCTTTAAACATCCCCCCTCTCATCTTAATCCTATGTCTGCTAGTATTTGATATTTCCATGCTGGGAAAGAGACTGCAACTATCCATCCTATCTGTGGCCCTCATAATTTTTTACACTCCTATCAGGTCATCCATCAGCCTCCGATGCTGTGGCTAAAACAAACCAAGTTTGTCCAAGTTTGCCTCTCCTTATAGCTAAGAAACTCCAATCCAGGCAATATACTGGCAAACATCTTCTGCTCCCTCTCCAAAGCCTCCACAACACCCCCGATAGTGTGGTGACCAGAACTGCACCCAGTGCTCCAAATGTGGTCTGACCAAAGTTCTATACAATTGCAACATGATTCGCCAACTTTTATACTCAATGCCCCAACCAGTGAAGGCAAGCATACAGTAAGCCTTCTTCACCACCTTATCCACTTGTATCGCCACTTTCAGGGAACTATGGGGTTTGGACCCCAAGATCTCTCTGTATATCATTGTTCCTAAGGTTCTAGCCATTTACAGTATACTTTCCTCTTGTATTTGACCTCGCCAAATACATCACCTCACACTTGTCTGAATTAAAGTAACCCTAACCCTAACCTATCTGCCATTTCTCCACCCACTTTCCAGCTGATCTATATCCTTTGCTATCCTTTCTCACAATCCACAACTTCACTAATTTCCGTGCCTTCTGCAAACTTACTAACCAGATCACCGACATTTTCATCCAGATCATTTATATATATTGCAAACAAGGGGGCCCCAGCACTGATCCTCGTGGAACATCACTGGTAACAGATAAATACCCCTCCACAAATATGCTCTGTCATCTATGGCCGAGTCACTTTTGTATCCAACTTGCAAGCTCATCATGGATCCATACAATTTGAGCTTCTAGACTGGCCTACCTTGAGGGACCTTGTCAAATGCTTTAGTAAAGTCAATGTAGATTATATCCATGCCCTACCCTCATCAATCATCTTCATCATTTCCTCAAAAAAACTCAATCAAGTATGCAAGACAAGGCCTCCCCTGCACAAAGCCATGCTCACAATTCCTAATAAGTCCATTCTTCTCCAAAAGCAAGTAAAACATGTCCCTAAGAACCTTCTCCAATAATAATTTTCCTACCACTGATGTAAGGCTCGCCAACCTATAATTTCCCAGATTATCCCTGTTACTCTTCTTAAACAAATGAACAAAACTGGCTCAGGGGTAAGTTCCAGGTTTAGTCGCACTGGTGGGTGGCTTTAACTGCTTATTCTCTGTAAATCACACACACCCTAAATTCTGATTCTTTGAGTGATCCTTTGAGCCTGCAAACCTAGAAATATCCCAACCACCTCTCCGCCCTCCTGCCATGCACCAAACAGTAGCTGCTACCACTTCACCATTGGTCCATGGTTATGGTACTAACATTTAGTGGCGCCTCTTCCAATATCTGTGTGTCCCTAGGGTCTGTGACATTGTCACGACGTGGTATGAGAGGTCGAAAGATGCAACAGGAGGTGAATATGATAATGTAGACGAAGTACAAGAGAGCAATGGTTCGGAAATAATACTTTCCATAACTGTTCCACTTGAAATGGATCAGGGCTTTGATCGGAGGGAGGTTGAGGATTTTCAGGGCCTGTAGAAACAGAACGATGTGGAAACATTCAGGGTTTGACCTTCACTCAGTCACCTTCAGAGGATGTTTCTGTCTGGAACTCCTCGGCTCACCTCAACTTCATTACTGCACACAACCAGGTCAAGGACAGAGCGGTCATCGTCCCATGAATCAATACCAGAGAGGTCGTAGAAGCTGGTAGAGATAGGTTTGAAAAACCATTCAATCTGGCGTTTCCTCTTTCTCATTAAATGTTGGAACAGCTGCAAAATACAAGACAAATCCAATGTGTTAGCTGCTGTCATTTTCTTTCTGTCTGTCAGGCTTGAAAATAGATTATAGGAAGAACCACACAGAATCCTGTATTCAATGTGCTGCTCAGACAAGGCATAGCATTTCTGTAGAGGGGCAGAAATGCCAGGGATGAGTAGTGTGATGTGAAGATGGGCCAGTATTTTACAGATTACAGGGTTCATTCAGTGATTCTGTTTAGGAAATCAAGAGAGAAGCTTACAAGCCATGATAGTGTAGATTACACGTGAAAAGTAAAAATAAAAGCTTCCACAGTGCTTTTTACTAGTTCACTGGATGTACGTTTTGTTCCGGAGTACCTCGTAGGCATATAAATTTTGTTGAAATGTAGTCATTGCTGTATTGTAGGAAACACAGCAGCTACTTCAGTGTGACCCCACATATAACAACATGATGGATTACCAGATAATCTATTGTCGTGATCTTGGTTAATGGGTTAATCAGGGATTTCTCAAGTTTCCTTTGAAAATGAGATTCAATGTGTTATGTATACACCCAAGAGGATAGATAATGTTGGGATTTATTGTCCCATGTGAAAGACAAGATCTCTGACAGAGCAGCATTCCCTCAGTGCTGCACTGCAATATGAGGCTGGACATTGTGCTCAGGTCTCAGGAGCAGGGTATGACAAGAAGCCTACTGACTCAGATAAGAGTGCGACTGCTAAACCAAGCCTAACACCCAGAATAGGAAGTGACTTAATGGGCCACCCAAAGTCATAGAGTCATACAGCATGGAAACAGACCCTTCGGTCCAACCAGTCCATGCTGACCATAATCCCAAACTAAACTAGTCCCATCTGCCTGCTCCTGGCCCATATCTCTTCAAACGTCTCTGATTCGTGCACTTATTCTAAATGTCTTTTAAATGTTGTAACTGTACCCACATCCACCACTTCCTCTGGAATTTCATTCTACACATGAACCACTCTCTGTGTAAAAAAATTTGCCCCTCATGGCTTTTTTAAATCTTACTCCTGTTGCCTCAAAAATATGCTCCCTGATCTGAAATCCCCCACCCAAGGGAAAAGATTCCTGCCATTCACCTTATCTATACCCCTCCTGATTTTATAAACCTCAATTAGATCACCTCTCAACCTCCTATGCTCCAGCGAAAAAAGTCCCAGCCTATCCAGCCTTTCTTCATAACTTAAGCCTTCCATACCCGGCTACATCCTGGTAAATCTTTTCTGAACCCTCTCCAGCTTAATAATACAATATAACATGATACAACCATTAATTAATAACATAATATCTTTCCGATAAGAGGGAAAATGCAGTAAACAATAACCCCAGTGATACCAAGAAATGAATGTACTGGTCATACTGGAGCACTATTCTGGTTTTACTGGTTTTTCCTAAGCAGCCTCTATTCACACCAACTAGAACATCTCATCAACTTTGTTTCCAATGTTCACCCTTCTCAGCTTCACATAGTCCCTTTCCAACTCTTCCTTTTCCTTAACGTAAAACAAAGAACTGCGGATGCTGGAGATTGGAAACAAGATCAGAAATTGCTGAGAAAGCTCAGCAGTCTGACAGCATGTGTGGAGAGAAAGCAGGGTTAACGTTTCGAGTCCAGTAGCTCTTCTTCAGAGCTGATAGTAGCTAGAAAAAGGCAATATTTATGCTGATGATGGGGAAAATGCTAGAGTCAAATATAAAAGATGTAATAACAGAACATTCGGAAAGCATTAACAGGCTTAGACAAAGACAACATTGGTTTATGAAGGGCAAAACATGCTTAACAAATCTACTGGAATTTTTCAAACATGTGGACTGGTTGTACCAAAGGGTCTGTTTCCGTGCTGTATGACTCCATGACTCTATGTAACTAGTAGAATAGATAAGGGCAAACAAGTGGATGTGGTACATTTGGATGGCTTGTGATAAAATCTCTCGTAAAAACATAGCGAGCAAAACTAAAGCACATGTGGGATGGGGCAATCGTGGCATGGGTAGAGAATTGGTTGACAGACAGGAGGCAGACAGTGGGGTACCTGGATGAGGGAAGCAAACGCAACTGTTGACGCGAAACTGGCCAAATTGAATTGTGAGGAGGGTTTTTTTTTTCTATTCAATTGTGGGACATGGGCATCGCTGGCTGGCCAGTATTTCTGGCCCATCCCTAGTTGGCCTTGGGAAGGTGGTGATGAGCTGCCTTCTTGAACTGCTGCAGTCCTCCTGCTATGGGTTGACCCACAATGCTACTAGGGAGGGAATTCCAGGATTTTAACCCAGCGACAGTGAAGGAACGGCGATATATTTCCAAGTCAGGATGGTGAGTGGCTTGGAGGGGAACTTGAAGGTGGTGGTGTTCCCACATATCTGCTGCCCTTGTCCCTCTAGATGGAAGTGGTCATGGGTTTGGAAGGTGCTGTCTGAGGATCTTTGGTGAATTTCTGCAGTACATCTTGTAGATAGTACACACTGCTGCTACTGAGCGTAGGTGGGAGGGAGTGGATGCTTGTGGATGTGGTGCCAATCAAGCGGGCTGCTTTGTCCTGGATGGTGCCAAACTTCTTGAGTGTTGTTGGGGCTGCACTCATCCAGGCAAGTGGGGAGTATTCCATCACACTCCTGACTTGTGCCTTGTAGACGGTGGACAGGCTTTGGGGAGTCAGGAGATGAGTTACTCGCCACAGTATTCCCAGCTTCTGGCCTGCTCTGGTAGCCACTGCGTTAATGTGGTGAGTCCAGTTGAGTTTCTGGTCAATGGTAACCCCCAGGATGTTGATAGTGGGGGATTCAGTGATAGTAACACCATTGAATGTCAAGGGACAGTAGTTAGATTGTCTCTTATTGGTGAAGGTCATAGCCTGGCATTTGTGTGGCGCGAATGTCACTTGCCACTTGTCAGCCCAGGCCTGGATATTGTCCAGATCTTGTTGCATTTGAACATGGTCTGCTTCAGTATCTGAGGAGTCACGAATGGTGCTGAACATTGTGCAATCATCGGCAAACATTCCCACTTCTGACCTTATAATGGAGGGAAGGTCATTGATGAAGGAGCTGAAGCTGAAGTTGGGCCTAGGACACTACCCTGAGAAACTCCTGCAGCGATGTCCTGGAGCTGAGGTGATTGACCTCTAACAACCACGACCAACTTCCTATTAGTCAGGTATTACTCCAACCACCAGAGAGTTTGTCCCCTGATACCCATTGATTCCAGTTTAGCTAGGGCTCCTTGATGCCACACTTGGTCGAATACAGCCTTGATATCAAGGGCTGTCACTCTCACCTCACCTCTGGAATTCACCACTTTTGTCCATGTTTGAACCAAGGCTGTAATGAGATCAGGAGCTGAGTGGCCCTGGCAGAACCCAAACTGGGCGTCACTGAGCAGGTTATTGCTGAGCAGGTGCTGCTTGATAGCACTGTTAATGACACCTTCCATCACTTTACTGATGATCGAGAGGAGGCTGATGGGGCGGTAATTGGCCGGGTTGGATTTGTCCTGCTTTTTATGTACAGGACATGCTTGGGCAATTTTCCACATTGTCGGATAGATACCAGTGTTGTAACTGTACTGGAACATCTTGGCTAGAGGGGAGCAGCAAGTTCGGGAGCACAAGTCTTCAGTACTATTGCCGGGATGTTGTCAGGGCCCATAGCCTATGCAGTATCCAGCGTCTCCAAACATTTCTTGATATCACATCCAGTGAATCGAATTGGCTGAGACTGGTATCTGTGATGCTGGGGACCACTGGACGAGGCCGAGATGGATCATCCACTCGGCACTTCTGGCTGAAGATTGCTGCGAATGCTTCAGCCTTATCTTTTGTGCTGATGTGCTGGGCTCTTCCATCATTGAGGATGGGGATATTTGTGGAGACTCCTCCTCCAATGAGTTGTTTAATTGTCCACCACCATTCACAACTGGATGTGGCAGGACTGCAGAGCTTAGGTCTGATCCGTTGGTTGTGGGATCGCTTAGCTCTGTCTATCACTTGCTGCTTTCGCTGTTTGACGTGTGAGTAGTCCTGTTTGGTGGCTTCACCAGGTTGATACCTCATCTACAGGTATGCCTGGTGCTGCTCCTGGCATGCCCTCCTGCACTCTTCATTGAACCAGGGTTGATCCCCTGGCTTGATGGTAATGGTTGAGTGGGGGATATGCGGGGCCATGAGGTTACAGATTGTGTTGGAGAACTATTCTGCTGCAGTTGATGGCCCACAGCGCCTCATGGTTGCCCAGTTTTGAGTTGCTAGATCTGTGCGAAGTCTGTCCCATTTAGCGCGGTGATAGTGCCACACAACACAATGGAGGTTACTCTCAATGTGAAGGCGGGAATTCATCTCCACAAGGAGTGTGCGATGGTCACTCTTACTGATACTGTCATGGACAGATGCAACTGCAGCTGGCAGATTAGTAAGGATGAGGTCAAGTATGTTTTTCCCTCTTGTTGCTTCCCTCACCACCTGCCACGGATCCAGTCTCGCAGCTATGTCCTTTAAGACCCAACCAGCTCGATCAGTAGTACTGCTGCCAAGCCACTCTTGGTGGTGGGCATTGAAATCCCCCACCCAGAGTACAATTTGTTCCCTTGCCATTCTCAGTGCTTCCTCTAAGTGTTGTTTAACATGGAGGAATACTGATTCATCAGCTGAGGGAGGATGGTATGTGGTAATCAGCAGGAGGTTTCCTTGCCCATGTTTAACCTGAAGCCATGAGACTTCATGGGGTCCGGAGTCAATGTTGAGGGCTCCTGGAGCAACATCCTCCCGACTGTATCCCACTGTGCCGTCCCCTCTGCTGGGTCTGTCCTGCTGATGGGACAGGATATATCCCGGGATGGTGATGGTGGTGTCTGGGACATTGTAAGGTATGATTCTGTGAGTATGACTATGTCAGGCTGTTGCTTGACTAGTCTGTGAGACAGTTCTCCCAATTTTGGCCCCAACCCCCAGATGTTAGTGAGGAGGACTTTGCAGGGTCGACAGGGCTGTTTCTGGTGCCTAGGTCAATGCCAGGTGATCCATCCAGTTTCATTTCTTTGAGTCTTTGTGGCAATTGGTACAACTGAGTGGCTTGCTAGGCCATTTCAGAGGGCAGTTGAGAGTCAACCACATTGCTGTGGGTCTGGAGTCATATGTAGGCCAGACCAGGTGAGGGTGGCAGATTTCCTCCCCTGAAGGACATTAGTGAACCAGATGGGTTTTTCCAACAATCAGCAATGGTTTCACGGTGATCAGTAGATTCTTAATTCCAGACTTCTTTTTTTGAATTCCAATTCTACCATCTGCCATGGTGGGATTCAAACCCGGGTCCCCAGGACATCAGCTGGGTTTCTGGATTAGTCTAGTGATAATACCACTGGACCATCACCTCGTACAAGGAGGCTTCAAGATGACAGGCAAATTAAGCAAGTGGACAAATTAAATAGCAGATTAGCAGATGCAATACAACATGGTTTTGGTGTGAAAACAGAAAGGAAGAATATTATCTTAATGGTGTCACATTGGAAGTGTAGATGGACGAAAGGATCTGGGTGTCCTTGTCCAAATGAAAGTACACAGGCAGGAGCAGCAAGCAATTAGAAAAATAAATGGTCTACTGGCCCTCATTGTGGCAGAATTTGAGTTCAGAAGTGGGGATGTCTTACTGCAGTTATATCGAGCCATAGTCAGACCACAATTGGAGGATTGTGTGTAGTTTTGGTCTCCCTACCCAAGAAAGGTTATACTTGTTATAGAGGGAGGTCTACTACCCTGATAATTGGGAATGGCAGGACTGTCCTGATTGATTTGACTGGGCCTGTATTCACAACCATTTAGAAGGATGCGAGAGGGTTTGATTGAAATGTATAAAGTTCTGACAGGGTCGGACAGAGTAGGTGCAGTAGGAAGTTTTTCCTGGTTGGGGAGTCTAGAACCAGGGATCGCAGACTCAGGATATGGGGTAGACCATTTAGGACTGAGCTGAGGAAAACTTTCTTCACTCAAAAGATAGTGAACCTGTGGAATTCAGAGAAGGCTGCGGAGGCCAAGTCACTGAATATATTAAAGACGCAGATTCATTTTTAGATATTAAAGTCATCAAGGGGAACATGGCATTGAGATAGAAGATCAGCCATGATCATATTGAACCGCAGAACAGGTTTGAAGGGCCAAATAGCCTGCTCCTGCTCCTAATTTCTATACTTATGTGTGTTTCCAGGATTTTCTCTTTGTTATTTCGGGTTTGCTGCAGCTGCAGTCATAACTGAGTGCTGTTCAGTGTTCAGATAACTGCGCATTATTGAATTGGAGCTTAGGCTCAATACAATATTGGACAGTATAGGGAACATTATAGGGAACATGCTCCTCTCGATGAGTCTGACTCTCCCAGTTGATGATGCCTCCCCCTTCCAAGACAATGTTGGATGATAAAGTGCTGAATAGTCCCTCACCTGGACATTCCCTTCCAAGGCAGCCAGCTTGAAGGGAGTCAGTCCATCGTTGTTGGTGATCATCTCCACTGGATTCCCATTCTCTGGATCGAGGGACAGGATGAAATCATACATCTGGGCTGTGTAATGCCGGGCATGCAGAACCAGATGATGCAGAACAGTGTTACCTGAAATGCATCCATCAGAAGAAAGGAATCAAGAAAGGCTTGCATTTATGTAGCACTTTTCACAATTTCAGAACATCCCAAAGAGGTTTCCAGCCAATGGAGCATCTTGGGAATGTAGTCACTGCTGTTGTGCAAGAAACATACCAGCCAAACTGTGCATAGCAAGCTCCAACAACAACACAGTGGCAATGGCCAGATGTTTTCAGTAATACTTATATATGAAATACATGTCGACCAGAGACAACAAAGAAGTCACACATTTACACCTCTTCCAAAAGACAGCACCTCTAAAACTGTAGCTCTGTCTCAGTACAGCACTGAGAGTCTCAGCCTAATCATTGGGCTCGAGTGTTTGGAATGGGATGCAAACCTATCCCCAGGACCAGATCAGGTGTATCCCAGAACTCTGTGGGAAGCTAGGGAAGTGATTGTGGGCCCCTTGCTGAGATATTTGTATCATCGATAGCCACAGGTGAGGTGCTGGAAGACTGGAGGGTGGCTAATGTGGTGCCATTATTTAAGAAATGTTTTTAGGAAAAGCCAGGGAACCATAGATGGGTAAGCCTGATATCACTGTTGGGCAAGTTATTATAGGGGATTCTGAGGGACAGGATTTATGTATATTTGGAAAGGCAAAGACAGCTTTGTATGTGGGAAATCGTATCTCACCAACTCGATTGAGTTTTTTTGAAGAAGTGGCAAAGACAATTGATGAAGACACAGCAGTGGACATTGTCGATATAGGCTTCAGCAAGGCGTTCGACAAGGTTCTGCATGGTAGACTGGTTAACAAGGTTGGATCACATGGAATCCAGGAAGATCTAGCCATTTGAATACAAAATTGGCACAAATGTAGGATTCAGAGAGTGGTGGTAGAGGATTGTTTTCAGACTGGAGGCCTGTGACCAGTGGTGTGCCACAAGGATCGGTGCTGGGTTGGCTGCTTTTTTTCATTTATATGAATTATTTGGATGTGAACATAGGAGCTATGGTTAGTACGTTTATAGATGACACCAAAATTGGAGGTGTATTCGACAGTGAAAAAGATTACCTCAGACTGCAATGGGACCTTGATCAGGTGAACCATTGGGCATAGGACTAGCAGATGGAGTTTAATTTAGATAAATGTGAGGTGTTACATTTTGGAAAGGCAAATCAGAGCAGGACTTATACACTTAATGGTAAGGTCTTGGGGAGTGTTGTCAAACTAAGAGACCTTGGGGTTCAGGTTCATAGTTCCTTGAAGGTTGAGTTGCAGGTAGATAGGATAGTGAAGAAGACATTTGGTACCCTTGCCTTTATTGGTCAGTGCATTGAGTTTAGGAGTTGAGAGGTCATGTTGTGGTTGACAGGACATTGGTTAGGCCATATTTGGAATACTGTATTCAAATCTAGCCTCCCTGGTACAGGAAAGGTGCTGTTAAACTTGAAAGGGTTCAGAAAAGATTTACAAGGATGTTGCTGGGACTGGGGGATGTGAGCTATAGGGAGAGGCTGAAAAGGCCCAGACTTTTTTCCACCGTACCATTGGAGGCTGAGGGATGACCTTAAAGAGGTTTACAAGGTTATGAGGGACATGGAGAGGGTGAATAGACAAGGTCTTTTCCCCAGGGCAGGTAAGTCCAAAACTAGACGGCATAAGTTTAAGCTGAGAGGGGAAAGATTTAAGAGGGACCTGAGGGGCAACATTTTCACACAGAGGGTGGTGTGTGTATGGAATGAGGAAGTGGTGGAGGCTGGTACAATTACAACATTTAAAAGGCATCTGGATGGGTACATGAATAGGAAGTGTTTAGAGGGATATGGGCCAAATGTTGGCAAATGGAACTAGATTAATTTAGGATATCTGGTCAGCATGGATGAGTTGGACCGAAGGATCTGGTTCCACGTTGTACAACTCTATGATTCTATGATCTTCCCTCTCAGAGGCAGGAGTGCTACCAATGCAGTCACAGCTTATACCTGAGTAATGAAACACATCAGGAATCGGAGTACTGTGGAGATCAGCAATTATCTAATGGGATTGTTGAACAGGTTTGGGAGGGGTGCGGGTTTAATTGTCGACTCCATTGCCTATGTTTCTATGTCTCATATTTGTAAATCAGACGGGAGATTAGACAGCACATTGTTATTCTCTACTTTGACTTCTAAGCTAATTGTGCTTCATTGAGCTCCGACTCTTACCAAGGTAATCCTGAGCCTTTATGTCTGCACCGTTCTCAATCAGGAACTGAACGATCTCTTTATTCCCAACACACGCAGCAAAAGACAACACATGCTCACCTGAAACAAAGGGAGAATAACTCAAAAGAGTGAACTGGAGACTAACAAATTGATCCAAAGTGAAGCAAGTAAAGTATCTGACCAAAATACTCGGCTTGAGAATCACCACTGAATCTCAACATCCATTGAGAATGAGACAATATTATTTGGCCCATTCATTCCTAACCTTCCAGTACCTTAACTCTCCTAATGTGATCTCGAACACCATAAATACATCTGGTCTTTGTCATTTCTCTGGTTATCAACAAGGAGAAAGTTAATCCAGAGTAGCTGATCTAGTAATAATAGCTGAAAAGAGAGAAGTTCTTCATTCACAAGATTAGATATATTTGGAACTAACTAGAAGTCAGGAAACGTAGAAAGCAAAAACAGGAACAGGCCATTCAGCCCTTTGAATCTGCTCCGCCGTTCAATAAGATCGTGGCTGATCATCCAACGCGGTCCCTGTTCCTGCTTTCTCCCGTACATTTTGAGCCCTTTAGCGCTAAGAACTCTATATCTCTAACTCCTTTTTGAAAACATTCAATGCTTTGGCTTCAACCACTTTTTGCACCTGGGAATTCCACAGGATCTCCACTCTCTCTGGGTGAAAGGCAAAAACAGGCTTGGGAGAGTTAGGGTAACTATGAGATTGGCTTCAGTTTTGTCTAACAGCTTTCTGTTATCTTTGACTGTAATCTGTACTCCTCATAGAAAGGACAGGCTCTCCACATATTATCTTTGAGATACAAGCAGGGTATTGCAGAGACACCACAGAATTAGTACAATGTAGAAGGAGGCAGTTCAGCCCATTATGTCTATACTGACTCTTTGTATAAACATTGCAACTCAGTACCATTCTCCTGCTTTTTCCCCATAAATCCTAACATTACTCAAATAGAAACAATCATTCAATGCCCCTTTGAAGGCTTCCATTATACTTCCAGGCATTGGGTTTCAGATCCAAACCAATCGCTGTGTGTGCAATTTTCCTGCTCACATAATATTTGCTTCTTTTGCAAATTACTTTAAACCCATGCAGAGATAGTAGGAGCTGCCGATGCTGGAGAATCTGAGATAAGAAGGTGTAGAGCTGGGTGAACACAGCAGGCCAAGCAGCATCAGAGGAGCAGGAAAGCTTAGGAGTCGGGTCCGGACCTGAAACGTCAGCTCTCCTGCTCCTCTGATGCTGCTTGGCCTGCTGTGTTCGTCCAGCTCTACACCTTGTTGTCTCTACTTTAAATCCGTGCCCTTGATTTGAGAGCTTTGTGGAAGTGATTCATGAATCAAACTGCTGAATGATCTTTACTTTGAAGGATTGATACTGCAGGCTCCACCTGGCATGCCTCTCACTTCATGTAACCTGTTCGCCCACATTAAACTCCTGCACCCAGCCCCATGTCCTTTGAATACCTTTTTAACAGACTTATTTCCTATCATGATTAATTGTTTCCAAACTTCTCCGACAGTTCCTAGCAACTTATCTCTATTACATTGCCACAGCTTCCAATTCCACTTGAGTTTAATACCCCTGTAAGCATCAGTTAAGCTCCAGATGTCACATCTGTGCTTAAAAGCATCACAAAGCTCTCAGGAGTATTTGCTTCTTTCTATCTGTGGGCATTATCACTGAAATATGTTAATGTCTTACAACATCATATTGCAAAATTTCCGACATTTGGACATAATGTTAGCTGATGAAAGACAAACGTGGGAAGCAATAGCAATGATCCCAGGTATGAGGAATTTTAGTCAGGAGGAAAGTCTAAGGAAGTTGGACGTTTCTCATTGGCAAAGTATTGAAGGTTATAAAGGAAATTATATAAATTGGCTATAACGGTGAAAACAGAGGTCACAGGTTAAAAAGTTTAAAAATTGCCAATAAAGTAGGAGGATGGACAGGATTTTAAATGTATAAAAAAGGTTAATGGACATTTAGGGTAAATTACAGAGGGGCAAGTAGTCAAGTGATCAACAGGTTAAACTCAAGGTATAACTGGATTCTCTAGTATAACAATGGATCTGATGGCCTGTGAAGAGGCAAAGGTGGTTAAAGATCAACTGAAAAGACGTAGCTTGTCTTGCACCAATGGAGCGGCACACAATGGATAGAAAGTGAGATATTATGGAGAAATCTGATGGAGAGAAGGGGGCAATCAAAAGCAATCCTGAGGAATTAGCAAACATTGGTCAGGCAAAATGATCTGCTTTGGTGCCATGTGGACAGCTTTGATCTAAAACGGTTAACATCACAAATTATATCTCTTGTACCCTAGTCAATAGAACGTTTCTCTAGAATTATTTGAGAAATCCCAATGCTCTCTCTCTTTTCCTGCTTTGAAGAATATTATGGAGATTTAAGCATATGAATGGAAGCAGAAATGTAGATAAATAATTTATGTATTTGGACTGCGGTGGATGCTAAATCATAGAAAGTAAGTGAAGAAAAAAATAAATTCAACAGGGAATGATTCTTCCTTTCACAAGGGAAACACAGACAAGAGGGATAACTCTTAAAATTCAATTGAAACAAAGGTCCTGAAAAATAAATGTCACCTTTAGAGCTTTAGAATATTGGGAAACAGAAAAATTTGGGAGAATTAGGATTGATGGTTGATTGGCTCACCGAACAATGGAGTACATCAAATGCATTATGGACCAGACCAGACCTTTCAAAATATTTTAAGAAGGTAGCCTTGATCCTAACATTTTCTTATTTTAAAGGCAAATGTAGCGCGCTGTATTCCAGATGCAATTTGATTGGTCAAACTACTCGATGTTAAGCATAACACAATATATTTAAAACACTATCATTAAAATACAACAAAAGAAAGATGAATTTAGAATAATTTAACTCTACTGGAAGACTTAACAGAATAATAGATACCATAACCGTTACTAATTAACTGTTCCAATATAGTAACATTCAATAAACACACCCTTGGCAAAAAAAACAGCAAATTCAGAAAAATAGGTTTGTCTCACAGGGTAACCCAGCAGCAGAGAGAAAACCTGGATTCTATCCAACAGCAACTGATGCTAAATCTCAAAGGTAAAGAACTAAAAAAATACTGTTGTGGTTGGTTGACTCGCCAAGATGGTTCATTGTTGTTCTGGAGATAAACCATGCTGGGTAACATCATCAGTGCAGCTTCCAATGAAGTGCTGTTGTGTTTTCCCGCCTGTTATTTGAACTCTGGAATCCGTTGAGCTGGATGACCTCACTTCCGACTTTCCTTTGCAGTGGAGTCGATCTCTATGTGTTTGTTGATGGCTTTCATCATGGAGTACCAGGCTTCTAGGAATTCCCGTGCTTGTTTCTGCTTTGCTGGTCGCAGGATCCTGGTGTTGCCCCAGTCGAATTGGTGGTTCTCCTTATCCATGTGGATAGAGATGAGTGATTAATGCTCATGTCTTTTTGTTGACGAGCCAACCAGCCACAACATTCACAAACGGAGCTACAAATCTACTCTAAAACCTTGAAAAACAAACTAACAATCCTGGTCAGATAGAGCCAGCCACACCCCTCCAGGCTGCTTCTATTGTTTCAACTTAAAAAAAAACTCTAGGCCTCACAAGCTGTTTACTTTACTGGCATTTTCCAGTAGACAGCTCATTACCTCTGTCTTAGAACCTCCCTTTAAACAAAAAGGACAAAATAACCTCTTAAAACCACAGCATTGTCACAAATGGCTTACTCTTGTCCTATTCCCACGAAAGACTAATGGAATGATGAAGAGCAGTCTGTCGTATTCAACGAGGAAGATTGTGAACTCACATACACTCACTAGCAAATGATGGTGAACGCTTACCGTAATAAATTAAGTTCTTTTCACTTCTTCTGAAGAAGATCCCGGTCGCACGTGATGATGCCACATCGGCTCCGCGGTTTATCAGCTCTTTCACCAGATGAACATTTTCGTTTGCCACAGCAATGTGCAGGGCTGTTTTCCCTATCCAACAAAATGATATGCAGTCACTTCCTATTGATCCTGATCCTAACCCCAACAACATTCCTCAACTCAGCTACCCATTCCCCATTTATGGGGAGGCGATGGCCCAGTGGTATTATCGCTGGACTGTCAATCCAGGGACCCAGATAAAGTTCTGGGGACATAGGTTCAAATCCCACCACGGCAGATGGTGGAATTTGAATCCATTAAATATCTGGAATTAAGACTCCAATGATGACCGTGAATCCATTGTCAATTGTTGGGGAAAACCCATCTGGTTCACTAATGTCTTTAGGGAAGGAAACTGCCATCCTCACCTGGTCTGCCTGACGTGTGACTCCAGGCCCACAGCAATGTGGTTGACTCTGAACTGCCCTCTGGGCAATTAGGGATGGGCAATAAATGCCACCTAGCCAGTGATGCCCTCATCCCGTGAAGGAATGAAACAAAAAAAAGTTCCTGACTTACTGTTTTGTACATCGATACACAGAGATTTACCGAGGCATTATTGTAAATCTACATTACAGTCAAGTGCAAACACCAGTTTCCACCTTTCCCTTTGTACAAATACTCAGCTCTTTGTGTTTTTAAGCATTTTTATTATTTTAAAGAACCCACCAGCAACTCACCTGAACAACTATATATCAATTAACGAATAACAAACACTGCTTGCCAGGCCTGTGTCACAACAATGTAGTTACAAAACGGGTAAGGAAACAAGAGAAGGATCTAAATCAAAATGGTGTTAGAGTGGGGAAACTATGCACTCTAGGCCCGGTGGTGCCCACCTCTCTCTGAAGACATCGAGAGCATTGGTGGATACTGCATACTCCTTGTCTGAGGGTACCTGGGGACGAACTTAATTGTGGAAGAGGAGGAACAAATTGGGAACTATGGACCACTCCCTTGCCCACAGCCTGGACCTGTTGATGGCCACTTCGGCCAGGCCCAGGTGGAGGTCCACAAGGAGGTCTCTGAACTGCCCACGCCAAGTGAAGAACTCGGCTCTGCTTTTCGTTTCGAAAACCTACCGCCAAATCAAACCCAATTAAACAACTAAACAAGTAACAAGCACTGCCTACTTATTGCAATAATAACAAATACAAAAAAGGTGGGGAATACAAGGGAGAGGTTAAATCAAAATGGTGTCGGACAGGGAGATAACGCACTCCAGTCCCGCCAACACCTACCTCTCTCTGAAGGTTTTGAGGTTGTTGGTACACAGCGCATGCTCCTCCTCTAAGGGAACCTGAGCATGAATGTAGCCGTGGAGGAAAGGCAAGCAATCAGAGTTGACGACTCCCTCCTCAGCCCACTGCCAAGAACTCAGCTCTTTCTGTTTCAAAAATCCACCACCCAATCACCAAAGTAATCACCTGGACAGACAGACTACAAACACTGCCCACTAGGGGCAGTGCGACACTAACACAAGGTAGGCAGAGAGGGAGGGGTCTAAAATCAAATGGAGTCAGAGGGGGAAATAAGGCATTCCACTCCCTGCAGTGCCCACCTCTTAGAACTCAGCTTGTAGATGTTTTCTAACCAACCTATTCAGAGATTTTAATTGCACACCTCTGGAGAAGGTGGGACTTGAACCTGGCCTCCTGGTCCAACGGTAGGGGCATTAGCACTGTGCCACAATAGCCCGAGCTCAGCTCTTAAATACAACAATCCAATGAGGGTTAACTGTTCTCAATCCACTCTGGACCTATGCCTTAAAGGGCCCTGCATTTCTGTCTCTGACCCTCACTGTGTAGGCCACATTCCTTACTCACTACAGTCATGGCCAGAGGAGATGAAGATAAATCCCAAAGAAATCAGTATCCTCTTGGATGTTTTCATGGTTAAGTTGTGTTTGTTTTAAAAATGAACAATCTGGACTCATAAAATGGCTGACACTGATTGTGTGATCATTTGACAAGAAGCCTCTGAACCCCCTGCATTATTTAGGCATTCCAGCTAAAGCTGACACCAAGGACTTAGAGACAAGCTGTTTGAGGCAAAAGAAAACTTCAAAACCTATTAAATTAAAATGGTCACTAATATTTCTACAGTGAGCTCATCAGCTCACAATGGAAACTCTATTGGGGGATATAAATCTACACTGTTGTTAACTTAACAACCTTCCAATTCACCTCCTGAGATAATCCTTCAGCACCTGAAAGGCCTGTTTTTGTCAGAGCTCTGAAAATGGAGCTTGTTGAATTGTTTAAATATGCAGCTCATAGAATCAGAGAATCCTTACAATGCGGAAAGAGGCCATTTGGCCCATCGGGTCTGCACTGATCTTTCAAAGAGCATCCCAGACCCAAACCCTATCCCCATAACCTTGCCCTATCCTTGTAACCCTACTTTTCCCATGACTAATCTATTTTGCCTGTGCATCCCTGGACACTATGAGCAACTTAGAATGGCCAAACCACCTAACCTGCACATCTTTGGACTGTGGGAGGAAACCGGAGCACCCAGAGGAAACTCACGCAAACACGGGGAAAACGTGTGAACTCCACACAACATCACGAGAAAAGCAACTCCAGGTCTTAGTCGCTAGAAGGCCTGTTCTCCATCTTTCTCTCCCTCTTAAGAATCTCATCTCCAGAAAGCACCTCAGGACTTTGCTGTCAAACTGGATCAGTTCTCTGAGTACAAGAAGTATTGCTGGAGCTTCAGCTGCTAATCACCTGCATCCTACCTCCCAGGAAAGGAACTACTACAACATCAGCTGACCTGATAGTCTCCCAAACGGACAGCGACTCACTGGACTGTAAGTCAAGTAAACTAATACCAATATCTTTGATTTCTAAAGAAATTCAGAAGATGTAACTTCTTTTCTTCCAATTCTCTTTCTTTCTACATTGTTTATGTGCAAATGGAGTTGCAAAACAATTCCCCAACATTTCGAATGTTTTGTTAACAAAATCTCTCTTTGATTTCATCTTGCAAGGTTATTGCTGTGAGTTGATTTGAAAACTTAGCATCTGAGAGGCCAGGATTTGGGGAGCACCTTTGGGCCTATCTCAGTAAGGGACAAGAGTGAAAAGTAGAAAGAATCAAATCAAATAATACCTCATCGTATCAGGCTTAAAAGGAGAGAAGCAATCCTCAAATTCCACTTTGTCAGCGGCACCATCCATTCCCCTTTCATCACCGACCGCTCTGTTTCCATATTTAAGCTGTTACATGACACCTCACCCACAATGTCCACCAACCCCTCAGTCCTTACGTAATGTCTTACATGACAGAAACAGGCCCTTTGGTCCAGCTCATCTGTACCGACCAGATATCCTAAACTGATCTGATCCTATTTGCCAGCATTTGGCCCATATACCTCTGTCCATATACACATCCAGTTGTCTTTTAAATATTGTAATTCTACCAGCCTCCACCACCTCCTCTGGCAGAAAGTTCCACACACGCACCACCCTCTGGGTGAAAAAGTTGCCCTCTCAGGTCTCCTTTAAATCCTTCCCCACTCACCTTAAACTTATGCCCTCTAGTTTTGGACTGCCCTACCAGAGGATAAAGACCTTGGCTATTAACCCTATCCATGCCCCTCATGATTTTATAAACCTCTACACAGGTCATCCCTCAGCCTCCAATGCTCCAGGGAAAATAACCCCAGCCTATTCAGCCTCTCTGTATAGCTCATACCCTCCAAAACCTGGCAACATCCTTGTAAATCTTTTCTGAACTCTTTCAACATCAACATCTTTCCTACAGCATAAGATCAGAACTGAATGTAGTATTGCAAAAGTGGCCTCACCAACCTGAACAGCTACAACAGATTAGCAAGGCTAGATCACACAGAATACAGGGACAACTAGTCATTTGGATACAGAACTGGTTTGAAGGTAGAAGACAAGAGGGTGGTGGGTTGCTTTTCAAACTGGAGGCCTGTGACCAGCGGTATGCCACAAGGATTGGTGCTGGGTCTAATTTTGGTGTCGTTTGCAAACTTACTAACCATACCTCCTATATTCACATCCAAATCATTGATATAAATGACAAAAAGCAGTGGACCCAGCATCAATCCTTGCAGCACTCTGCTGGTCACAGGCCTCCAGTCTGAAAAGCAACGCTCCACCACTACCCTCCGTCTCCTACTTCAAGCCAATTTCGTATCCAATTGGCTAGCTTCCCCAGTATTCCACGTGATCGAACCTTGCTAACCAAACTACCATGCAGAACCTCTTGGAATATCCCACCCATCCTAATGCAACACTTAACCCCTCACTCCTTATTTATCCCAACCCATTCTAATACAAAACTTAGCCAGATCCCAGTTTGGGTTAACAAGGGCGAAAGTTCATGAATGAAACAATAGAGTCTACCTTCGTACAGCTCCGAGGTGGCAGGCACATTGATGAGATCTGGCACTTCTTCAAGGAGCATAGTCGCTACCTCATGATTTCCGTACAAAGCTGCTATGTGCAATGCTGTCTCACCCATCACTCCTACCAGGAAATAAAAGCAGCCACAATTACCACAAGGTACTGAGGTTTGCTTTCAGCTACTGTTGCCAACACTCAAGGAATTTCCTGGAGTCCAGGGGAATGAAAGATCGATCTTTGGTCGCTGCTGCAAGTGAGAACTTATGCATGGCATTAAAACAATTATGTCTTTTTAAATTTCTTAAACACTTTTATTTGTCAAAATTAAAATCTCGGTTAGTATTTAATCAATACATCATCTCAACCCAATGCCTGTCAACTCTTCAATCCTTCTCTATCCAAGTACTTTTCAGGAAACAAGCTGCTGGGGGCAGGAGAGTTATGGTTGGCTGGTCACATGAAGAAACCTCTTTAGACTATATCCAACCTGACCCGGCAATTCTGCCTCACACAGTATCTATCTCATTTATTGCCTCAGTGCGTCACTCACAGCCCTGAGATTGAGTGTGATTAGCAGTCAGTCAGTATGCAATGAGTGTGAGACTGGAATTAATGAGGCTTATCAAGTATTATGATGGCCCTCAAGGTTAATTACTTACAGGGCAGATTAGACAAGGTAGTGCTGCTTTCGAGGTCAAAGAAGGAGGACGGGAGAAAGAGGTTGAACAGCAGCATCAACACCAGCATTGACCAGTCAGACCCAGTGACCCCTTCCTGTGCTGCGTTTTAATTAAAATGAAAGCATACATCCATTTGTTACCTTCCTCAAAATTAAATGTGCCTTCTCACCTTTTTCGAAAGGGTCAACGGAGTGGCATTCCAGGAGTTTCTTGATCGCACTGACATCATTCGCTCTTGCTGCTGTGAACAGAGGTACTTCCAAGATCCTGATGGAGAGAAATCACACAGATGGATTCAAACTGTGGGCACGTTCACTATCAAACTGACTGGTCAAGGCAAATGCATTTGGAGGGACGTATTGTTCTCCACACTTGTTACTTTGTGCTGGTCCTGGTGAACAATCTTCCCAGAGAATCACAGGATCATTCTGACAGGAGGACAATCAGCTCATTGTGCCCAGGTTGGCTCGGAGTGATCCAATCAGAGTCCCGTATTCCTGCTCTATCCCGGTAGTCCTGCTAACGTTTCCTTTAGTTATTTATTCAATTCATTATGATACTTACTTTTCAATCTATATACAAACCGTGAGCATGAGTGGGCCATTCAGCCCCTGAGTCCTCGATGAGATAATGGCTGATCTGTGTGTAATCTTAAATCCACATTCCCACCTGCCCCTGATAACCTTCCACCCCTTTACTTAACAAAAACTTACCCATTTACCTTAAAAATATTCAAGAATCTGCCTCTATCACATTTTACAAAAAGTGTTCCAAAGATTATCATAGAATCCCTACAGTGGGGAAGCAGGCCATTTGGCCCATCAAGTCCATACTGACCCTCTGCAGAGCATCCAACCCAGTCTCACCACACCCCCACCCTATCGCTGTAACCCTGCATTTCCCGTGGCTAACCCACCTAGCCTGCACACCTCTGGACACCACAGGGCAAATTAGCATGGCCAATCCACCCTAACCTGCACATCTTTGGAGTTTGGGAGGAAACTGGAGCACCCGGAGGAAACCCACAGGGGTAAAATGTCCAAACTCAACACAGACAGTTGCCCGAGGGTGGAATTGAACCTGGGTTCCTGGCCCTGTGATGCAGCAGAGCTAACCACTGAGCCACCATGTCACCCACTGAGGGAAAAAGTTTTGCCTCATCTGTTTTAAATGGGTGACTTGTGATTTTAGTAACATCATTCTCCTGTAAGAGAAATCATCTTCCCCCATCCCCTCTATTCAGATCTTATATGATTCTGCTCCCACCACAATTGTAGGAGAAGCCTAAACGCTAACAATTGGCTGCATTAAAAATATTCTCTTCATTTCCACAGCCCCCCCACCCTTTCTTTGGCAGCTGCATCTAACAGCTTCACTCCTGAGGATGGAATTAGTACAGCCAATCACAGCTGAGAATGCCACAACACACAAAAATGAGAATTAACCCCATCTCATTTTATGCAAGCATGATAACATGATGACATCCCAAACTAAATAAAATATTCACCTATTATTGATCAAGCCGAAACTGTGATCTGGCGGCTAACGTCACCAGCGAAAAAGATACAAGTATCTTCCTCATGCCCCAATGTCGCTGTAGTGGCTCTGGGCATGTGTTACTGACAGATACCCAGTAAATATGAGTAAACCGATAAGAGTTAATCTGAACTGGACCGTCAAGGGGACACATTCCAAACATAGAATTTGTCAGGCTGGAGAAGTGGCAACATAAACAGATGACAATAAATATTAAGAGATAGAGGGACAGATACAAATGAGGAGATCCAGGGATAGGTATTAAGTAGAAACATTGATAAAAAAAAGATACATTATATTTATAGATGTGGACAGATAGAGATACAATAGAGAAGCATGCGTAGGGACAGAGATCTAATTAGTTACATCTAAAGGCAGGCACAAACACTAAAAGAGAGATAGAAACCGATAGTAAAAGAGATGCACAAGGACACAGTAAAATGCGCAGAGTGAGGGACTGTAAGTTGATAGACTAGGTAGATTGTGATCTGGGTAGATTAACTGCAGACAGACAGATTGACAGAAACAGGTAAATAAATAGATGCATGGTAAATCTGTGTTGTTTAAAACGTCACTAAAGAAGAGTGAACTGTGGAAAATGCATTGTAACACTGTCAAAATGTTCTGCCTGAGACTGCTTCTGTTCCCACCCATCCCCCAGCTCCCTCCCTAACACACTCACTCACACAGACACACACACTCTCTCTCTCACACACACACACATTCACACAATCACACACACACACACTCACTCTCACACACAATCAGCCCCCATCACCCCATACGCACTACAGCCACCCACATTTGCATATACTCCCACCTACACACACAGCCTCAACTCCCCCTGCATATTCAACCCATCCGCACAAAAATACACACGCGCCGCACACCCATCTGCACACACATCCACATTCAGTCACCCATATGCACACACACACATGCACTCCCATCCACATATGGATGTATGCGGATAATCCCCATCCTACATACACACACATACTCTCACACTCACCTATATGACCCATGGACAAATAAAAACATGCAGCAGATTTGCTCTATACTGCAATTAAATGCTAAGGAGATTAATTTCTCTCAGTGTCAGTGTTCACTCCAATCTCTCCTTTCCATTTGTTGGTTACTAGAGTCACAGTGAAATGGTTATGAACTACATGAGACACTAAGAACAGTTAAATTGTGAGGAAGCACTTTTCCCCAGCTCAGAATGTCCCCTAGTGCTTCACAGCCAGTCAGTCATTCTGAAATTTAGTATGTGGTATCATGTAGGAAATGTGGCAGTTAATCAGTGCACAGCAAGATCCCTTGAACAGGTAGACATGACTTCAGTTTAACATATTATTTGGCAGATTGTATGCGACAGGCTCTGCATGCTTTTGTGGAGTTTGGACACTTTTCCCCATCTCTCTCTCTCTCTCTCTCTCTCTCTCGCTTTCTGTACACATTTAAGCATAAAGAACCTCTTGATGTTCCCCTTTGACTGTTTCCCACCAGTCTGATGGAAGGTCAAAGAGGGGCTTGATGGTTCTCCAACCTGTCTAATCCCTTTTGAGTTCCTCACTATTTTCTGGGGTCTACAGTTTCACTGTCATCTTCTACGTATCTTGCTGGTCTGCTGGTCATCCTGCATGTGACAGTCGGCCAGCAGGAGGCAGTGGTCAGAGAAGAACACCGGCTTGACATTGGTGGATCTGACCGAGAACGTACAGGACACCAACAGGAAATCTATCTTTGAGCGGAGAGACCCGTCTGGCCATGTATCTTTGCTGCGCTGCGTCTGCAGGGATGCTGACGATGTTGTGGAGCTTGGGGACTTTAACTGTTTCCATCAGGAAGCTGGACATGGCGTCCAGTTCGCTGTCAGTCCCTCTGGATGGTCCATCTGCATCGATGATGCGGATGAAGTCTCCGGCCAGAATGACCGGCCTGGACGTCACCAGCAGCAGTGGGAGCTGCTCACTCTGTCCCCCCGGGGCGTACACGGTAATTAGTCTCAGGGGAGCGTTTCTGTACATAACATCTGTAATGAGGAGGTGCCTGCCCTCCACCTCCTTAACCTCGGAGATGGTGAAGCTGCCTCCCTGCAGCAGAATATCCAGGCCGGAGGAACGGCAATCATTCCGTGCCCCCCCACCCTGGGACCAAACCGAAGGCCCATGGGTCCACAAGCTTGACCATCTCCCGCAGCGGCTGAGGTGCAGTATCCCACACTCCTGCAGAAACAGGAGGGCCGCTTTGACATTGGCCAAGTAAGGCAATGTGGGGTCACATCGTGTAGTAGATTTAACACAACGCAAGTTAACACTGGCAGTTTTAAAACCCATTGAAATTTTACAGAATTAAGGTCCAGGACTACTCACTGAGGGACTCACTAAAGCTTGGGGCAACTGCTGCCGAGGCGCACTGAGGAAAGACCACCATCTGAGGCCTTTCCACCAACGTACAATGGAGGTCCATTCAGTTATTAGACCCTCTCGGTGCCTGAAATATATATAAATACAGTCTTGTATATGGAAGAAATGTCTTGCATTTGTTTGTTATACACGTGTAAAGACTGTGTACAGAGTCGAACTGCTCAAGCAACTATGTATACATATAAAGATTTTTTGTGAATAAAGTATATTTTTGAAATAAAAGAAAGAACATATCCAATAGTGCAGCATTCTCTCGGTACTAAACGGAAGTAGCATCAACTTGGATGATGTGCTCAAACTCTGGTCTGGAACTTGAAACGAACCTTCTGCCAAAGAAACAAGTGTGAACTCTGAACCCGACAGACATCAAAATGAACACATTGCCTGACTTAGCACTTCTGTGTTTCAAAACATTCATCACAGTCAACACAAAGCAACCTCCTACTAGTTACACAGGCATCCTTTACATATCTGCCTGTTATATAGCTGTCTATTACTCACTCATCCATTACAAATTCACTTTGCCACACCCCCTCATTACAGCCTGGCTATTATCAGCCTCATCCATTATATACCCATAGCATACACATTTGTCATATACCTGTCTTTTTACACACTTCTCCTACTATGTACTCACACATGTTATACACATATCCATGACATATATTGTCTGTTACACACCTGCTCCACACTTGGCAGTTACACAATCATCCAACTGCTAGTTACACACTCGATCTTTCAAATATTTGTTGCATTTTCATCTATTACACATTCACCCATTACTCACCAGTTGACACATACCTACCCCACATTGTTACACGCTTGTCTGCTATATACTCACGCATTGCACACTGTCCCTGACATACACACTGTAACACTTCATACATTCCCTACAGTGTTGAAACAGGCCATTTGGCCCATTGAGTCCACACCGACCCTCCGAAGATCATCCCACCTAGACCCCCTCCCACTTACCCTGTCCCTGTAACCCTGCATTTCCCATGGCTTACCCACCTAACCCACAACTCCATGGACACTATGGGGCAATTTAGCATGGCTAATCCACCCTAAACTGCACGTCTTCGGACTGTGGGAGGAAACCGGAGCACCCGGAGGAAACCCACGGGGAGAATGTGCAAACTCCACACAGACAGTCGCCCGAGGGTGGAATTGAACCCGGGTCCCTGGTGCTGTGAGGCACTGTGCCACACTTGCCTGTTATACACTGACCTGTTACACACCTTGTCTCATGTTCTTCTTCATTGATTTTGATGTTATTCAGTGAAAGACCTCATCAGTAACCGATGGAGAACAGGACAGGATTACCACGCTGGGTTCCAAACTCTCATTTAGTTGGCATTTATGTAGCACCCTTCACAACTTCAAGGCATCTTTCAGCCTGGGTCTCTTGGTTTACGAAAGGAGATATGCACCACCTAAGGATTCCTGTTGGGAATGCAGGTCTGCAGTGAGCAGATTCAGACTCCACCACTACGACCAAACAGACACATCTCTGGTGAGCCCAGAAACTAAGTGCTGTGGGATCATTTAACATTTAGCAGCCTATTCTTACTCACTCAGTGTCCACCCAAGCCCCTCTCCCAGTAGATATCGTCGGTACTAACCAGATATGCCAAATGGACGACTTTCGTTTCATTTTGTAACACAGGAATGTCCCCCAACTCCAAGCTCCTGAACTGAGGAGGAAATTTGTACAGAAAACAGCAACCCTGCCTCACCTCTTGTGCTGCAAAACGTGAAGCTCATCGATTCTCTCCTGCTGGGCAATTCTGGGCTGGAGTTTTACTGACAATCCATTGACTAAGGCAGAGACAGACCATCGACCACTTCCCAATAGAAATCCCATCATCCTTCGCTCGTTGCCTCCAGCTCTTTCTTTCTGTGCCCAGGAAGGTTGGCTGTCAGCTGCCAGAATTAAGAAAACTCCCACCTCTTCCCAAAGTCTGCAAGAGCCCCTTAAAGACACCTCACATCCTTTGAAGTTGGTAAGAATTTGCTGTGAGCCTGCTCCTGCTCAGAGTCCATCCACATGCATTCAGGTTGTGATTTGAACTGAATTCACTTCCTGGTTTAACCCTTTGCTGCCTGTCCCAGCTGTTTCTTCCTGCAATGAGCATATCCAACAAAAGTGACCCTTAACCTCTTACTCTACTTTCCCCACTTCTAAAGGGAACATGGCCCTCAGGGATGGGTGGGGAAATTGCTGGGGTATGTGCTGAACTCAAGGCGTGGGCACACCACTTGTAAACTCATTTGTAAAGAGCAATTTTTGTCAGTTTGGCCCCTTTAAGGAGACACTAAAGATCATTGGTGTCACAGTGGCTGACTTGAGGTTGTCACTCCTACTGAGGGTGTCGTCACAGCAACCAGGGGAGTCTTTTTTCTCTATTTTTGGTGAACTGATCCATTGCAAGGTGGTTGATTGGCAGGGGAACAAGGGTAACGTGTAGATCTCAGAGAATGTGCTGGGGAAATCGCAGATAGTGAGATTATGTGGACTCCTGACAACAAATATACAAACAGTCAGCGCTGACAGATTGTTAAATTCTTGTCAGCAATGTTGCAAGATCTGTGGGAATGTTGAATTTATTACCGCAGTGGGTAATTGACATGCCTACTGCATTTAAGGGCGAGTTCCACAGGTACAAGAGATATTAGGTCAGTTGAGAAAGTTTGATCGAAGTAGTATGTTTAAAAAAGTGCCTTAGAGGAGGAAAGAGAGGCGGAGAGAGGGAAATGCAGATCTTAAGGCTTCAGTAGCTAAATGGTGGAATAATTAAAATCGGACATATAAATGATGCCAGAGTTAAAGGAGCACAGATATCCCACAGGGTTGTGGGGCTGGAAATAACTGCAGAGTTGGAGAGGGGTGAGACCATGGAAGGATTTGAAAATAAGAATGATAATATTAAAATGGATCCAATGATGCTTCACGAGGATCATCGAATCCCTTTAGTGTGGAAGCAGTCCATTTGGCCCACTGAGTCCACACCGACCCTGAGAACATTCCACCCAGACCAACCCCTCTATCCTATCCCTGTATCTCTGCATTTCCCATGGCTGACCCACCTATCCCTTACATCCCAAGATGCTATGGGTCTATTTAGCACGGCCAATCCACCCCTAACCCGCACATCTTTGGACTGCGGGAGGAAACCGGAGCACCCAGAGGTAACCCACGCAGACATGGGAAGAATGTGCAAACTCCGCACAGTCAACTGAGGGTGGGATCCAAAGTAGAACGGTGAACATGGAGATGACGGAAGAAACAGAACTTGACTTCAGTCAGGATATGGGCAGCTTGATTCCAGCGCAATCTGGAAATTAAAAATGGGATCTTTCCATCCACGTCGCTCAGCATCACACCACCTGACATGAAACCGGAACAAAAAAACCTCTGCACCCTAAACTTCAACACAAACTATCAAACTCCTGTGTTCAACTGACATCATAGAATGTTCTGGAACTGTTTATTCAAGAATGGGAAGGCACCGTTCAAATCGATGGGGAGTTAGGCAGTTCCCAAATGTTTGTAGAGATGAAGGAGAAGAGAGCAGTTTGAAAGGAAATAAAGGTGGGAAGTAAGCCTTGATAGCATTCCAACATTCCAGGATACTCCAGGATAATGAACCTTCCATATGAAGCTGTGAACAAACACAGAGGAAATTGCAAAACCATTAAAATTTGCCTTTTCTTCAGTGGCTTTGGATTTCGTTGTTTTACGAATGCAAGAATTTTGGAGGCAGGTTGAAAAAACTTATTGTTTGACTGACAGTCAGGAACTCTCCAATCTGCTAATGATAGAAGACACTCACGTTGAATCATTCATGGGCCCAATCTTAACTCATTCAAAACGTTCCCACATGTCCCAGGTTAAAATGGGGATTAGCACTGGCACACTCACTCCATAAATGCTGTTGCACCGGCTCAATGTTTGTGGTCATTTGTTTCAGGTCATAAAGAACCTTTCATATTGTGTATAGTCAGTGTACATGTGGTTGAGGAAGTGGGGGCAGAGATGTACTGTGACTCCTGGGATAGACCATGGTCATGGACTGGGCTGGGGAGTAGCTCTGTGTGTGTGTGTGTGTGTGTGTGTATGAGAGAGTATGTGTGCGCACGAGCGTGCGTGCATGTGTGCACACAAGCATGCGTGTGTGTGTTCATTGTGTGTGTGCGCAAGTGTGCATGAGTGTGTGCACGAGTGTGCACACGAGTGTGCATGTATGCGTGTCTGTGTGTGTGTGAGTGTGTCTGTGCGTGAGTGTGTGCGTGTGAGTGTGTAGCTGTAGGTATGTGTGTGTGCGCGCACATGCAAGTGTGTTTGTGCGCATGAGCGTGCGAGTGTGTGTGTGCGCGAGTGTGTGTGTGCATGCGCGAGTGTGTGTGTGTGTATGTGCGCGCGAGTGTGTGTGTGTGTACGCGAGTGTGAGTGTGGGGGTGTGTATGCACATTCTCCCTGTGTCTGTGTGGGTTTCCTCTGGGTGCTCCAGTTTCCTCCCACAGGCCAAAGATGTGCTGGTTAGGTGGAGTGTCCAGGGATGTGCATTAGCAGGGGTAGGGTAGGGAGGTGGGTCTGGGTGGGATTCTGATGAAGGGTCTAGGCCCGAAACGTCAGCTTTCCTGCTTCTATGATGCTGCTTGGCCTGCTGTGTTCATCCAGCTCTACACCTTGTTGTCTCATACTCTTTGGAGGGGTCAGTGCGGCCTCAGTGGGCTGCCCCTTCACTGTAGGGATTCTATGAGAGGGAGAGGGGTGTGCCTGTAGACAGAGATTGAGGTTTGGATGGAGGAACTGTGTTGGGAGGACGTAGCTATGACCTGTTGAAGGAAGGAGGCTGAATGAAGGGACCTCCCAGACAATGTCAGATTGAACTGGATAACATGACCTGCAGGAAGGTGAGAAATTACAGTAGACTCAGGCACATTAAGATTCAGGTGTGAGGTCAGCCCTATTCCCTTATCAAGTGCCATGCACTTGTAATCTCTTCTGCTACGCTTCAGAGAAAATGAGTCAACAAGCAAAACATAGTATTCTCCTCTTTTCAGAGACAGTTAAATCGATGACAGCCTTTGATAGCCCGATGTAATCCAACATCAGCTTTTCCCCATCTGTCTCAGTGAGCTTTCTGATCTCATACGTGTAACATGTCACTGAATACATAGGAGGATCAAAGACCATGGAGCAAGGATTCAGATCATAACAAACTTGAAGGGAAATTAAGGTTAAACAAACAAATGTTTACAACAAGTGTAGGGAATGACTATGTGGTTTACTTTGAGGTAAACAATGTGGGGAGGTGATGGCTCGATGGTTTTATCACTAAGGTCATGTTACACACTTGCTTAAAACCTGCTGTCCTGGCAACATGTGCTAAGTGATTGTATGATTAGCAGGTTCAGTTGCATCAAAGTACCTAAAATGTTCAAGCCCATATTAATAGCAGTGTTCTGTTCTTACATCATTGATCTGAATTTGGGTGATATCCAACATGGGTATGGAAGGTTTGAGTTATAAAGAAAGGCTGAATAGGCTGGGACTTTTTTCGCTGCAGCATAGGAGGTTGAGAGGTGATCTTATAGAAGTTTCTAAAAGAAGGAGGGGCACAAATAGGGTCAATGGTAATTTTTTTTTCTCCCTAGGATGGGGGATTTCAAAAATAGGTTGCACATTTTTAAGGTGAGAGGAGAAAGATTTAAAAGAGACATGAGGGGCAACTTTTTTACACAGAGGGTGGTTCATGTGTGGAATGAACTTCCAGAGGAAGTAGTGGATGTGGGTACAATTACAATGTTTAAAAGACATTTGGGTAAGTACATGAATAGGAAAGGTTTGGAGGGATATGGGCCAGGAGCAGGCAGGTGGGACTAGTTTAGTTTGGGATTGTGAACAAAAACAGAAGTTGCTGGAAAAGCTCAGCAGGCCTGGCCGCATCTGTGAAGAGAAATCAGAGTTAACGTTCCAGGTCTGGTGACCCTTCCTCAGAACACATGGTAGCTAGGAAAATGTTGGTTCATGTACAGAAGATAGGGTGGGAGGAGGGGTTAAGGAGTAAACGATAGGTGGGTATAGAGCCAAAAGAGAGAGAAGAACAGTTGGACAGACAATCTGACCCCACGACGAAAGATATATTTCCCTCCCCACCCCTATCTGCCTTTCGTACGTACCGCTCTCTCTGCGACTCCCTCATCTGCTCCACACTCCCCACTAACCCCACCACCCCCGACACCTTTCCCTGCAACCACAGGAAGGGCTACACCTGCCCCCATACTCCCCCTCACCTCCATCCAAGGCACCAAACAAACCTTCCACATTAGACAGGCGTTCACCTGAACATCCGTCAATGTGGTCTATCGCATCCGCTGCTCCCGATGTGGCCTCCTCTACATCGGTGAATCCAAGTGGAGGCTCAGACACCGCTTTGTAGAGCATCTGCGTTCTGTCCGCAACAAACAACAACACCTTCCAGTCGCAAACCATTTCAACTCCCTCTCCCACTCCCTGAACGACATGTCCATCCTGGGCCTCCCCCAGTGTCACAATCTCACCACACTGCAAACTGGAGGAGCAGCACCTCATATTCCGCCTCGGGAGCCTACAGCCTGATGGCCTAAATGTGAACTTTACCAGTTCCAAAATCTCCCCACCCCTGGCCTCATCCCATGACCAACCCTCCCTCTCATCCCCACCTCCTTGACCTGACACAACCTGTCCATCTTCTTTCCCACCTATCCGCCCCTCCCACTTCACTGACCAATCCCCACCACTGCCTACCTGCACTCACCTATCACCATCCACCTCCCTTCCCCAGCCCCACCCCTTCTCCCTCTATTTCCCAGCTCCCTTCT